TATGCGTGTATATGTGTATGTATGATGTAAGCATATGCGTGCTCCGGCATGTGTCAAACGATGGTCGCCGGAAGGGCTCCTTCGCGAGCAAACATTTTCCCGTGAGACTGGGCAAACGACGCCTGAGTTGCTAGAAGTTGGGCCACCTGGTCAAGCAATTGATCAATCTGGTTTGAACGCATCGGTCTGAATAAATCCATTTCAACTCATTTGGTCCTGGCCCAGGTTGGCCCCATAGTGAGCTGAACAAACTTCTCACCAAAACATGCAACAGCTCAAACAGCGTCGAGCGCGGGCGTTCTCAGGGCACGTAGAGGTCTTCCCGGCTCTCCACCGGCCCGTTGCACACGGGGCACTGCTCGAGGCCCGGCGCGCAGGTCGAGCAAACGCAGAAGTGGCGGCAGGGCCGCAGCAGCACCTTGCGGGCTGCGTCCATGCCTTGGCCACAAGTCGCAAAGGTCAGGAGGGCCAAACCCATGCGGAACCCCGCGGTTTACCTGGTTGACTGATGGTCTAGGTCGAAGCATGTTGGTTCAAGAACCTGAGCAAAACCGAAGAGCTCAACCCTTCGGCCCCGACCGTGCCAGTGAGTGCAACGAGGGCTGTGACAGAATGCTGGAAACGCCAACCAAGTGGCAACTCTGCCAGAAGGAAAATGGTCACGATTCCCATGATTGATCATCTTGCCTATGTTTAAAAACATTGTTGCAAGAGGCACAGGTTCTATCCATTTTGATCGCTTCATCCGTGGCGCCAATCCGGTCATTTCTGTGCCGCTTTCGCGCTTGGCTTAGTGGCTTGCTTGCCTTCTGCGGCTCCCATGTTCGGCACCAGGAATCCAGCACAAACCGACCGATCGCCAAAAGAGCAAGGCTTTGATTGCAGTCAGGCCACACACCACGCATGTTGCCGCATTTCGTGCATCTTCCGCACCTTGCGCGGCCCCTTGGGGCGCATCCAGCAATTCCCTCAGCTCGGCCCATCGTAGCTGATCCTCTCTGAAGAAGCCCAGGAAGCAGCCCCAGCGAGTGGCGGAACGGATCATGTTGTCGGTGACACCCTGCGGCTGACGCATTTTTCCTCCCATACTGAAAATTGAGAGCACAAAAAAGAAAAAACTCTTCTTGCGGGTAGTGTTTGCCTGAGTCGTGGATGCAATCTCTCACGTGGCCTTGCCCAGCTTGGCGCGATCGCCGGCGTCGAAGCCCTGCAGCAGACGGTTCATCTTCAGCAGCGCTTGCAGCGCCTCCTCCTCCGACTTCTCTGCCAGCCCGGCGTCCTCGAAAAAACGAACCTCGAAGCCACGAAGCCACGTCAAGCAAGCCAAACCAAACCACGACGAGAACCAAACAACCAAACAGAAAAACGGAAACAACCAAACCAAACCGAACAACAACCGACCGACCGACCGAAAGACCGACCGACCGACCGACCGACCGACCGACCGACCGACCGACCGACAAGCCAGCACGCCAGCAAGCCAGCAAGCCAGCAAGTAAGCCAGCGACTGCCGAACAACCAAAGAGTCTCCTTCAGCAGCCAGAAGACCAAGAAGTCGTTGAGCCGTGGCCTGCCCGGGTCCCCCGTGCGCTTCCCCGCCCGCGTGGTGACGATGGGCACCCAGAGCTCGGCGGCGGTGAAGCGGCCCCGCAGCCGCGCCAGCACCGCGGTGGCCGTCGCGCGGCTCCGCTTGCCCGAGAAGAAGGCCCGGGGATCCGACACGTAGCCTGCACGTTTGGAGGCGGGAAAAAGAGACACGGAGTTTCGCCTGGGGAGAAAAACCAGACCTTAAGACCTTGAGGCTGCTTGAACTTGTTGGGGAAAGGGAAAAATCCGAAGAAGCAAGGGGGAGAAAACGTTTTACTGGTTGGACTTGTTGGGGAAACCTTTGGTACAACACCTTCAGAGAAGCTGCCGAAACCAAGCTGGTTGCTTGCTGGGTGGTGGCTTGATCGGACTGCACGGGTGGGTTGTCCAATTTCGGGATCACCAGTGGTAGCCAGGACGTTATATAAATTCGCTTAGGGAGTGTTTTGTCACTCTCCGCAACAAAAACAAGGTTCCGCAACAAAAACAAGGTGAAAGGTTGCGCCAAGCCGAGTCGCAGTTCTGGAAATGCATCAGCTCCTGGCAAGGTCCACAGATGTACCCACAGGTTGATCAAGCCTCTGTGGCCCAATTCAAAGGGGATCCGCCACCTGCGGGGGAAACACCCCCTCCTATGAATCAGAAACGCTATGGGGCGACTTTCGTGACGCTGCTACCTTTGCACCGGGTGCTTGGCAAGCTAACTAGCCAGCTTGGCACCATTGCGCCCCAACCAGCTTGCAGAAGGACATGCTGAACTGCATGTTGAACTGCTGAATTCTGCACTTGCACATAATATGTGCATGCATATGGTATATTGCAAACCTATCATGTAGCTTGGGGGTGCGTAAGTTTTATACAGGGTGGGTTTATGGTTGTGTTAGGCTTTGTTGGTTCTAATGCTGTTAAGTGTGGGGGTTCAGGGCTGTGTCCGGTGGGTTGGCAGTGTTGAGTCACATGCATGAAACTGGGGAAAGAAACCCCCAATGCGGAGTCTGGAGTCATCCAGCCCGACCATCTGGCTGTGGCTCAAAAAGATGTACCCGGTACCCAAAATGGCCCCTAGGTAAGCGGAAACAAAGACCAACACCTGCGCAACCCTGGCTCTTAAATCTTGAGCCATCTGACCCTTCCAAAGCTTCTCGAATGGCCAACGACCAAAGCTCCTGATGCGCCTCTGCCTCATCAGCCACCACCTTGGCCCGGAACTGGAACTTGATGTCCTTCCCGGTCTTTCGGTGCAACCGGTCCATGACCTTGCAGCGATGCTGCCCATCCATCACGTAGAAGACGTGGCCCGGGTCGTTCAAGAGCACCAGCAGGTTGATCTGCCCGAAGTCGCGGAACCTCTGGTTCTCCGCCAGCTCCCGCAGGTTGTCGCTCACCCGGGCCTCCACCACATCCTCGTTCACGGCTCGGTTGCTGTTCATGGACTCGAACTGGCAGCTCGAGTCCATGACGTTCTTCCACTGCAGGAAGCCGGTGTAGATGTTGTTCTCCGCGTCCTTCACCACCAAACCCGATGCCACGCCGGCGTCCAGCACTGAGACCTCATGGACACATGCGGGTACGTCTGGAACGAAAAGCCCTGGTGGGGGAAATGGGGAAATCACCACACAAACACATGGGCCATGGGTCAAAGCCGATGGTACCATTCTGGGATAGGTGCACCACCCATTTTAGAACCTATTTTTGTGGGGATTGGGATGCTCACTGGGGGTACGGGGTTTTGACCTAGCCCCGACACGGGCCCATCAAGTTCAGAGTCCCCAAAGCCCGGCTGTTTGTGCCGGCAACGCAACCCGAGCCCTCACCCTTCCATGGCAAGCGTCCAGTGGCGATTCCAGGCGGCGCCGCACCACGCGCTCGCCCATGGCCCAAAAGCATGGCCGTCCCAATGCGTCAGACCATCGGACAAGCAGTTGGCTGTGCCTCAAAAACTGGTACCCATGGACCAAAACCTGCGTAACCCCTCCTGCTTAATTTTGAGCCACACCCAAATGAGTGCTGGCGTTCGGCTGAAGAAAAAAGAACGAGCCACCCTGGGCAGAACCAAGTTCACAAAGGAGCCGGGCTTCCAAACAAATAAAACATCGACCATGTCGTTGAGCGAGCTGAGTCGTCAAGTGGTGCTGAGCTGCTTGTATCTGGACATGGTCTACAGCCGCACTTGCAGCGGCTCGTTGCTGGGACTAAGCTTTGCACAAGCCCAAGCACACACGAAGTAAGGACAACCTGGATGTCATCACGGTCCTGCAAACATGGATGACCGTCATGAATTGCGGGGTTCAGTCCCGCCCGCGTGTCTCAAAGCATGCTCCAAAACATCTTCACGTCGGTGCGTGACCTGAAAGCCATGACCACGCAGCTTGCAGCACTCTCCCAGCCTCGCCAAACTGGCACTAGCCCTTAAGGCAAAGAACCAAAGCCCTCGACTTCACCCGCAAAAAAAGAAAAAATGAGAGATCCGTCTTGGAGGGCTTCAGATTTGGCTTCCAAAAACCATGGGTGGCAATATTCCCGGTCCTGCCAAGGCTCAAGGACTCATTCACCCGGAGGCGTGGTCTTGGCTCTGAACCCGTCTGATTTCTTCGGCCCAGCCGACGCCTTCGCTGGAGGGCATGGCGACCACGCTGGCCCCGGTGCTTCGGCCGCTCGTGCTCCTGGCATGCTGCAGGCCAGGCGTTCTGTCGGAGATGGACTTTGAAAAACTTTGTTTAGCAAACAAACGACAAAAACAAAAGAAGAGGAAAAATGAATCCAAATGTCTGGTCTTCCTTATCCCAAACTGGGGGCCCCCCCAAAAAAAAAATCCGTGCGCCGGCGCTCGGCTGCTCCTTTCCGTGGCAGAATGAGCACGTCGCGGCGTGTTTACACGAATCATCTGGCCTGCCGCAGGGCGCATGCGGCAAACGCTTCCCAGTGGGGCAGTGTCCACTTTTTAAGCAAAATCGCGGAATATCCCTTCCTCCTCCCCCCACCTCCTCCTCCTCCTCCTCCTCCTCCTCCTCCTCCTCCTCCTCCTCCTCCTCCTCCTCCTCCTCCTCCTCCTCCTCCTCCTCCTCCTCCTCCTCCCCTCCCTGGCCATCCCTGGCCTTCAACAGGTTTGTATATGCGGGCTCGCCGAAATTGGCATATAACAAAACCCCTAGATTGGAGCTGAAGCGGTGGTTGAATTCCGTCTGCCACCAGCATCAAAGACTCAGATGCGAACATGCCTTTTCCTCATGCATCAACCCAACTGTGTTCCTCCGCCCCGTGCCCATTGACGTTGCAATCCAATGCTTGCGCTTCAACTTGCCAAGCTTCCCACTTCAAAGTCTTAACTGGGGCCACGTTATGCGAACAGGAACATCGCCCTGACGCCGGAAAAACGTCCGAGCATTCAGATGCCAGGCACATCACCCCCAGAAGCCGCGCCAGAATACTCAAATCCCAGCCTCTCGGGCTTGTACTTGTTGCAAGGCTTGCAACCGATGGGGTGCCCCAGACTGCCCGGGTTGCCTGAGGGCGAGCAGAAAACGCATCCGGAGCTAGGTGGTGACTCGACTTGTTGGCTCCCTTTTGGCCTCCTTAAGCAAAATACTTCGATGGGTTCCAGATGTCCAAAGCAGCCGTGCATGGCTATGCCAGATTTGCCAGAGTCAGTCCCACTGGCTTCACTTGGCCCATGGCACCAGGGCCAGCCGAGGTGCTCGGGTGGTCGGGGTCGACTCGTCCTTTGGGTATATAGCCGCTCGACATCATCCCCTCCTCGGCGACTCGGCGACCCGAGCGTCAGAGCCCTCGAAAGCAAAGTGGAAAGCCCGTCCCTTCGTGAAAATTGTAACTTGGAGCGCGTGGCGGACACGCTAAATTCAACTTGTTTGGGGTCCCAAACCAATGCATTTGGGTTGTGGGACCCTTTCACGGGGGAAGATGGCAAATGCCTTGAACTCGAACATTCGGCAAAAGCATGGGAAGGTGTGTCAAAACGAGCGACCCTTAGGCTCCCCTTTGGACCCAGATTGAAAAAGTGTGGCAGCCCTCGCTGAGACCATCTAGGCGCAGGACCAAAAGCCAAGAGCCCGGAGGCTCTTGAAGAAAATGCACTCGGTTTTGGGGACACGGGCCGGGGCCCGTCCCCGGAAACAAGTGGGAAAGGTCAAGGTCAATCCCACAGCTGGTTCTATTTCGAGCCACAAACGCTACGGACATGCATCTTTCCGCACAAAAAACAAAACAAACAACGCTCACCCCAAGACCAACCCTGCATGTTTGGAATCCCGCTCAATGGCCCGGATGAGCTGCTAAGACACTTATCCAAAAATCCGCCGACCCCCTTGGAAAGCAAAGGCGCACGAGGGCCGGCCATGGCCAATGGCAGTGGCAACAGAACCTGACTGTTTGCGAAATGGGGGTTGATCAAAAGGTCCGTGATACATGAGATGACCCCACCAAAAAAGATGATGTTCACCACTAAATGGGAAAAGTTGCCCCATGGTCATGTTGGGCCAGGAATATTGATCAACCCTCGTATACACTTTATTGCACCCCTGAAAAGGAGTACCGAGGCAAAGTAATACAGAAAGGGCCGTATGGAGCGCGAAAACTGCAAATGTATACGTCGTTTGGTGTAGAACTTTGATGTCGAATGACTTTCAAAAGTTTGCAGTTCGAGACCACGACACCTATGTTAGCAAGCGGAAAAACATGTCCTGCATTAACGCACTGGTGATGCTGGGGTGTCGACCAATTGTAGTCTACGGATCAGAGAAAACAACTACTTTTAGTAAACGGAAGACCGTTTTCTTTACTAAAGCACTGATGATGCTGAGGGTGTCGCCCCCCACACAAAACCGCATTGCGTTTGGCACTGGCGCCACTGCCAAAGCAGCGGCTTGGGAGCAGATCCAAACGGTGCTTGGGAGAATACATACACGGCTGCTCAAACATAGGTACCCAGAATGGAACCCTTGGAAACTTGGAATGGACGAAAACCTGGACCCCTAGTGGTTTAAGCTTGACCCATACCCACATGGGACTTAAGACACATTGTAGCTGTTGGCTTACATTGAGGATGCTACAAATGTTGACAGTTGGGCGCGCGCTCGTACCCCATGTGTTCGAGGCGTCCTTTGATAGACAGAATTCTGAAGGGAATCCTGAGGGAGACATTTCTGAAGGATGCTTTCTCGCTCCCTAGTCCAACCCAAGCAAAACGCCCAAAAAGAAACGACTTCAGTGGTAAACGGAAGATTGTTTTCTTTACTAAAACACTAATAATGTTTGGTGTCCCACTTAGTCAAGGGAGATCGTCCAAAGCAGACCTGGCCACGTCGCCACGAAGAGTGCAATTGTGCGCTTTGAAGTCATTTAAAAAGGAATCCAACAATAATGGTGTCGAGGCCTGCAGGATTGAGCGATGCGTCTGCCTCGTTCCGTGCGAGCTAGGAAAACTTGACGCAGACTTCTGGCTGCGCACCAGGATGCCTTTGGGGCCTTCAAGCAAACCATGCAGCACACGTGTCACTAGAATTGCATGAGCTCTTGGAGGCAAGAGTTGCTCATCTCACACGCACGATGTCTGCCGTGCACCACAATGCTACTCGAAGGCACTGAGGGGAGAGTCTCAGGCCAAGGGAGAGCAACAAAAGCCAGACATGTGCAAAGGTTCGGCCAGACTCTCACCCACCTCCGCGGGAGCTCGCGCGAACTTGTGACGCATTAAAGCGCTGCTCGTCCGACGTAGAACCTATGCCCGGATCGCTGACGCTTCATCCCCACGGAGTGATCATCCCTCACTCGGCAAGACGAACTCCCCGGAAGGAAGCACTCGGAAGAAGCCTGGCCAGAAGGGCTCGATCGCGCTCCTCCAGCCTGGGCTGAAGTCAGATGTTGTAGGACCAAGTGGAACCACCCTTGCGCGCCTTCCTGTAAGAAACCTACCGCCCAAGCCAACCTATCAACCTACGCCCAGTCAATAACCGCGAGCATCTCAATGGCAGCTCCCTCAAGAAGTTTTTCGAGTGTGCGCATGTTGCAGATACGCATGCGACATTGCCTTTCCTTTTTCCCTGACTGGGACCCTTTGCATGGAAACCCCGTCTTTCCGGAAGAACTGCACTGGTCCAAGAACCATCTGATATCCTGCCCTTAAAGGGTCCAACAGTCTCTCAGTCTTCACCACTACTACCACTATCACCACTACTAACAGCACAAATAAGGGCAACAAAAGTACTGATGTTGATACTACAACGACTACCACTACCGCTCCGCTATTGTTGCGAATCGGACTATAGACTCATTTCTGGCAATATGAATTACCATTCTCGAACAGATTGATTGATCACTACCTAATTCAGTTGAAAGTCGAAGAAGAAAAAGAGAGAGAGAGAGAGAGATAAAGAGAGGAGCAGCACCAGCAGAGCAGTAGAGCAGCAGCAGCTCTTGGTGGTGGTGGTGGTGATAGTGGTAGTGGTAGTGGTAGTGGTAGTAGTGGTAGTGGTGGTGCAGTGGTAGTGGTAGAGGTAGGGTAGTGACAGTAGCAGCAGCAGTAGCACTGGCACTAGCACTGGCAGAAGTAAAAGTAGTAGTGCTAGTGGCGGTGGGAGTAGTAGTCGCTGTAGTAGTGGTAGTAGTTGTGGTGGAAATGGTTGGTGTAGTGCTGGTCTACTACTGTGCTCCACTGCTGCTACTACTACTACTGCTGCTGCTGCTACTACTGCTACTGCTACTGCTACTGCTACTGCTACTGCTACTGCTACTGCTACTGCTACTGCTACTGCTACTGCTACTGCTACTGCTACTGCTACTGCTACTGCTACTGCTACTGCTACTGCTACTGCTACTCCGACTCGTTCTTTCACAACTACTGCTGCTGCTACTACTACCACTACTCCTTCTCCTCCTCCTCCTCCTACTACTACTACTGCTGCTGCTGGTGCTGCTGCTGCTGCTGCTGCTGCTGCTGCTGCTGCTGCTGCTACTACTACTACTACTACTACTACTACTACTACTACTACTACTACTACTACTACTACTACTACTACTACTACTACTACTACTACTACTACTACTACTACTACTACTACTACTACTACTGTTACAACTTGAAAAGAATGAGCAACTCTAGCTTGAACGTTTGAACAGCCTTCCTGAAAACACAGTTCAATGCTGACTTGCAGCCAGGTAGCTGATTGGCTCATTAGCTAGTTCAAAAACCATCTAACCGTCTAGCTCATGAATCGGCAAGTTCATTAGTGAGCAAGTCACGCAATCAAGGTGTTGCTCGGCGGTACGAGTAGGTAGCTAGTTCAGCAATCAGCATCATCAGCCAACTCGGCAGCTAAACTTCCTTGCAATTTGCGCAGTTTCTTGCCTCATCCGTTCTCCTGCTAAAGCGGGCCAAGGAGCTCGTTGCAGGGCTGATTTGCGCACCAGGCCACGTCTTGCACGGAGCTCCGGGGCAAGCCGTTGGCACTCAGCGAGACCAGGGCACACCTGCAAGCCGGACCGAGCGCGCGGACAGCCACACTTCACCCTCGCTGGAAATGAGATCCTTTTCGCCAAAACACCCAACAAAAGATCGGTTTGGTCAGCTGAGTTTCCAGCAAGCTGCATTGAGCCAAGCTCGTTTGGATGGAAAACCCTTTGTTTGGGCCGCGTTTGGCTTCTTCAAGACGGTCGGTGGGTGCTGCGGATCGGTGCTTGAAGCAGCTCGGACTCTTGTGTGATAGGTGTGGAAAGCAATGCTGGATCTCCCCTCTCATCACTTCACAGAACCGAAGGGGAACCCATCGACATTTGCCACGCAAAGGCAAAGACACCAATTTAGGAGAACCCAATGCAGGTTCTTGCTGCCTCGCTGCCTCCCTCATGAGCCTGCGAACCTTGACCAAAACCATCGAAACCTCCACAACCCATCTAATCCGTGCAGTACAGGTGCGCTCAAAATGAGATGGTTCCTATACTGCAGATGAGCTTTGCCACGTTGGTCGACCTTCCCAAACCCGCTGTGCCGGCTGAGGCATCTGCTGCAAGGGCGAGATCTGCGCGCCGGAGCGGGCGGACACCTGCCGTCCGGAATTTGAGGCGAAGGATCGTAACTCGAAGATTTCCTGAACTCCGGGGGCCGCACATGCGACACAAAGCCAGATACATCTGCTGCGGAAAAATTGCTGTTTGCCCAGCGGCAAACAATGCGCAGGTTGCCTGGTATGCGGCCGAAGGGCCAATGGTTATTCAGGATCCTTTCCCCGTGGATGACCTGTTAGAGGGGTGTTTTGACCTCGGCACATGTGACTTGAACCCGAAGTCTGCGCGGTGCTGGAGTCGGTGAATCCACCACGGGCGAACAGCAAAACCATTTCCGTGTTTGGCTATTTGCTCGCCCTATTCCGGAAATCAACCATGATACCGTGCAAGTCAACGTCTGGATTCTCCAGCAGATCTAGACAAATCCTGCGATGCATGGCCAATCAAAAGCGGCCCGTCTCCAATGGACTTACGTCTCTTTGGAGGATCGAGGCCATCAGAAGCCAGACCAAGCCCCTGGATTCAATTAGAGAAGATGTTCCCAAAAATGGAACCCTTTTAAATGAACCGAAGGACAAAAAAAAACAGAAAGCTGTCCCTCTTCTGGTGGTTCTGTTTTGACGCCCGACCCAAATTTCTCTCTCAAAACTGGTCAACACCTCCGATGAAACCAACGATCCCACCTCGGAGCCCGACACCAGCATCCCGGCCTCCGAGGCTCGGCTGGCAGATGTCCCAAGGCACGGGACACGAATGGGGAATGCCCCGCGCTGAAAAACCGATCCGTGGGCTCCACTAGGCAAAAAAAATAATATGAGTTTTCGGCCCTCGGGCCGCCGGCCAACCGTCTGTGTTCCCAGTTTGCTGGAACTCTGCAAGGGGCCGAACGGGAAAAATGCGCAGTGGGCTTGCTCTGGGTCTTGATCTTAACAAAAAAGAGGCTCCAAAACAGAGGCTGGGTGCTCGTCTTTTTCCGTATATACAGTGATGTCTAGGGCCTTGCGCATCGTTGCTATGCTTTGTCGGGTGCATGTGGGCTCCAGGGCACATCCGATCCAGGCTCGGGTCAAATCAAATGAAGAATTCTCCAGTATAAGCCCCGCGTACAGTCAGTGGACCTCGCGCCTGGCAACAATTGTGCTTTGCAACTTGTTTGTGGTTTGTTTGCTCTGCTTGCACCTCGATTGCAGCAGTGTGGTCTTGCTTACTTGTGATGCTGCATGTTCCATGTACCTTGTCAGCAGCACTCGTGCTGCTTCTTCTCGGCTGCTGCAACGGATCGCGCTTGTTTGGTAGTCCTGGTGGTTCGTTAGAATACAGCGGTCTCGAGTGTGCCAGTACACAAGGAAACTGGAGTAGCTACACCCAAAGGCTGAAAAATTGGCAAAGTGGCACTATAGGCCACTGGAAAAGAAGCGCGTACGGAGCCTTCACAATAAACCCACTCAGGATGAGTCAGTAGATCAACGCTTCTCACCTGCCCAAAAAAGCCGGAGTCAACAACATAACCCACCGAGCTCTACTTGGATTGTCCGAATGCCCTGGGAAGCCTGGTACCCAGACACCCCCTTTGACCCCATCGAGCAACAAAGAAACAACACACCGCCGTTTGCCTCGGTGCGCAGGGCGCAGCCCGCAGTGGCGCCGCCGCCGGGCGCGTAGCCACGCTTCTGAAGCGAAGCAGCCAAGATTTGTTTGCTCGTTTTCCCTCTGGAGAAGAGTTGATTCTCTCTGCCCAGAAATGGCACAAGTGTTACTTTCAGTGATGCGGAGGCAAGAGTATTTTGAACATGAGTTTGGTAGGTGTTGAGTGAGTCAAGCGCAAGAAAGGCTCGCGGCGTGGACACTGTACAAACAGATGTTCAACTTTCTGGCATGCATCATTTTCCTAGTGAAATTGATTTGAGAAATCATCACACCTGAGCCGCTCTTCCCTTGGATGTAAAACCTCAAGCAACATGCGACGCAAAGTTCAAATGCCAACCAATAGGTAAGTAGCCGCGCTTCTGAAGCCGTGGTGTCTCTAACACATTCGGGTGTGTCTCACACTGGGCAGCCCAGAAAATTGGTGGTTTCTGCTGGGCTTCCCTTGAGAACCCCAAAAAGGGTATCGTCAGAACATGTGGGCAGGGCACGTTGGCAGGGCATCCAACAAAATTCCGAGCTGAGGAAACACGCATCGCTCCAAACTGGCCCCACAAACAATTTGCGACCAAGACTCTGCAGCGATGCTGGCGGCTGAGTTCTGCATCTCCTGCATCTCTCTCCCCGAACTGCCCCCTTGACCCATGATTGCACCCTTGAACTAAATCTTACCCGTTCCTCGGGAAAAAGAGGCAAACAGACCTAACACATGAGTGCCCAGGCCAAGTGGGTGTGGCTCAAAAATTGGGGTCCAAAATGGAACCCTGGCAAATGGAAAAGTAGACTAGAACCTGCGTAACCCCAGCTGTTTAATTTTGAGCTACACCCAAGTGGCCTACACGCCAACTTTGCCACAAGCGAACCAGTTCAAACCATCGGATCGATCGTCGCTCCTCCAAGGTGTCACCCTCGATGTCGTGATGCACAAAGCTCGGGTGCCTTGTGTCCCGTGACCCGCGGAATCTGTGCTCACAGGGGAGAAAAGCCCAAAAGAAAGCGGCACCACTGCAAACATGATTTGGGTTCCAAAATGGGTGGTGAATTCACCTACCAACCAAAATGGTACCATTGGTTTTGACCCACGACCAATTCGGCACATCGCCAGGACCTTTTGAGACGAGGAGCTGGAGGCAATTGCCCTGCGCGGTGACGCCCATCTCGTCGCCTGAGATGCAGCGCGCGGTTCGGCACCCGCATTGAGACCGAAGCTTCATGCGGAAGTTCCCCCCAAAGACATGCCGTAACAAGGAACCTGGGGCGTAGCATAAGATGATACGTATTTAGACTCTCTTTTTTCTGGAAAGCGATGCTGATATGATACAGTAATTGGCAGAATTCTTTGAGGTCAAAGATATCCTTCCCTCTAAGGTCTACGGATGCAATGACACTCAACCTTTGTTTAGACGCGGCGCGCAGCAGCGGGTGCTTCTTCAGCACACTGCGGCGCACTGGCTTCAGCATGCCCACCTGCGCTCGGGGCTCGTCTGTCCGCATGGAATGCAGATTGAAGATCCCCCAAGTGGCTGTGGATCAAGAATAGGAACCCAAAATGGAGCCCTCGTAGATGGAACCAAGGACTACCTGCGGTCCATATCCTGGTGGTTCAATTTTGACCCGTACCCAAGTTTTGCTTCTTGAACCGCATCTTCCCAATCCAAATTTCGTCTCCCTTTGCGCTCCCGTCCCCAAGCCTGTCAGCAACATGCCGCGCACCTTGTCCTGCGGAAGCGGCACGGCCGCTTCCGGCCAAGGGACCTGTTCTGCGTGCAACTTCGCGGGTAGAAGCGCATCCCTTCCTTGAGACTCGTTTGCTTGCACCGCTCCAAAAGGGTTCACACAGTGACGCAACACGGACACGGCCAACGGTCTTGCCAAAGAGAAGTGAGAAGTGACGCAGACATGAAAAACCATTCCGTTCGCAGTGGGTTGACCAGTGTTATCGACATAGTAGAGCAACGCAGACAGTTCTCAATGATAGTGAGGCAGTGTGAAGCTCTCAGATGCTTTGTGGAAGAAGAACCCTTTGCAATGCTTCCTGAAAAGGACTTCGTTGTCAAATGAGCGCGGCTCCCTTCGTCAATTGCAAAGCTGATGCTCTGTCCAGCCTCCACGTCAGTGCGCATCCACCGCACGCCTCGAAATCGGGCGATGGGAATTCCGACCATGTCATGACTGCAATCCAAACTCTACCTCTGTGCTTTCTCTTGGCAAAATTGCTTGTGAGAGAAGATTGATTCCCACTTCATGACACACGTGCTTGCAAAACCATGGATGGCTCATCATTGCCATCACCCCAAGAAGCCATTTGACCATTGCAAACGGATCCAGGAAATAGACACAGCAAATCACATGTCGCCCTATTCTCCTGAAAGATAAGATATGTCCCTGTACAGGAAAACCACCGCATCTCCTCTTCGCCCCCCACCCACTTGGACTTGGCTATGATTGGGCCATTCGGAGGGCCAAAGTCTGGGAGTGGACACGAGCATCGCATCATGCTGTCCAGGGGCGCGAAAAGGTTGCGAGCTCCTGGAGGATGGACAAGGCCTCTGGTGACGAGGCTCCCTGACTCCCTGACTCCCTGACTTGGAAAATGTCGCTGGGGACAACAACACGGGAGGTGTATGTGTCCAAACGAGTACCTGATTCTGCCCCACTTGAATGAGTCAACAGACTTGGTACTTGAATATCGTTGCTTGGCAGGCGTTCTAATTGTGTGTAACAATCAACAGGACATGGAAATGTATTCTTCCCCTCTGCACCAAAGCAGTGACACTCTCATGTGTCTTGTTCAATGACCCTCTGCATAGAGGAAGCCCAATGCGTCATCTTCCAAAGAAGCCTTAACACGTTCATATCCCATGTCCCACAAAAGCAAATAAACAAATACTCCTCCCATTCATCAAAACTTGTAGACCCCCGGCTGGCCTGTGCATCAGGAAGCGCTGGCGATGCCAAGGCGTCCTTGGGCAGCCGAGCTTCAGATTGGAGCTGGAGAGAAGAGGCGAAAAGAGCTGCTGAAACATCAAAATCTCCCAATGGGTTTGCTTTGAAGGTACTTGTTCCATAGTTTTAAGCCATTTTGAGAGAAAGCCGTATCATGTTGACACTCAATTGGCCAGTTGACGCACAAGTGAAAAAATAAAATAAAAATAAAACACAAATGCAACTTGGCAACCGTTTCGTGCTTCGACTCAAGCTGCATTGAGGCAACGCAGCCCTGGCTTGGACCTTTAGATCCCTGCGCCTCACTCACGTCCAAATGGCCATGGGTCATAACCTATGGCTCCATTTTGGGGCGGAATGCCCATGTACCACCTATTTTGAGGTTCACCAGGGGTTCCCTGGGTTTGACCTACCGCCATTGAAGGTCCCCAAAAATTATCCGGCAGGGCAGCCCAGGGCGATCGGATCCCATTTTGGGCTAGGATGGGGTGAATTCACCGCCCTTAGAACCGACAGGGATCCGAATGCATTATACACCTGAACATTGCAACTTGTACGTGGTTTCCAACTTTATGTTGTTGAAAAAGAATCCACGTGTTTCTGGAATCCACTGCACGCTGAGCAGCGAGGCCCATCTCTCCGTGGGAGAAGAGGTTGGCTATGAGCACCTGTCCGGAAGGCTGCCAGGACCCGAAGAAGAGAAGCTACCTCCTAGCCTACCTCAAGAATTGAAGTAAGAGGCGGTGGGTCAAAACCAATGGGCACCGCCCATGTTAATCTATTTTAGTGGGGAGTGTGAGGTTTCGAATTACAGAAGTCTCCTAACTAAACTCCCTCTGATGAGCCATTCTGAACAGGTTCACAAAGAAGACGAAGAAGCATGAAGAAGCATGAAGAAGCAACGTCACGTCACGGCCAGCAAGAATTCTCACGAACCAAGCTCAAAGAAGGCACAGGGGATCTGAAGAGATGGTCCCAGAGGCGTAGCATTCTTTGCTGACCAAGGTCGTGTCGGTACTCCCACGTGAGAGCCCAAAATCGTAAGAGGCTGCAGGTGGCAAGCGGTGCGGGTGCTGATTCCAATTCGACCCGCCTGCTCCGGCGTCAGCCCTGCATCTTCCAGGGCCGGTGCCAGGTAAACGGTGCCGCCTCAACACCGGAGGCTCTGGAGACTTGGGGACTGCCTGTGATACGAATGGACCAAAACAAGACCCTCCCGGTCAGCTGGCGAAAGTGATTCTCCAGAATCGCCTGGCCTCTTTTGAATGAGGGCAAAGGTCGGCAACTGGTCATGGCTTAATTGCCAGAGGGAACCAGTCACGCCTTTGCTCCATGTAACTCTTACTTCAGTGTTGCATGTTGCAACCGAGTCAAACCAGCTGATATTCTGAGGGCCCGACTGACATGCGCAAGACCTGGTGAATCATTGAACACGCCGGCACCAAACAATTTTCATGTATGGATTGCACACGTCCTCGTGCGCGCAAACCTCCGCATTTGTACAATGGTATTAAGGCATGTATTTGCTAGAAACTCATTGGCAACCCGAGCATCCAAGCTTTGACTCCTGTCGCTCTCCGTGCGAATCAGTGCAAAACCCGCCTACCGCCGCCGGCGAGAAGTCGGCCAGCCACTTGGCCAGGATGCGAAGCCTCGCCACCGGCAGCGCGCGCTGCTGGCGCAGAGAAGAGCGCGGTTGACCGAATCTGTGGTCCAAAGTCTCAGGTGTGGCTCGCAATTCAGCGGCTAGGGCTACGCAGGTGTTGGTCCATACTTCCACTTACCAGGATTCCATTTTGGTACCGGTTTTTTGAGCCACAGCCTCTTGGCCGAAGGCCTTTGTACTACAAGAAAGCACCTCGAGCGTTGCTCCACCCCAGATTCCAAAGCGCGAGGATCGGCTTAACTTCCAAACTCCGCCACCTGGACTGCGCTTCCTTCACAGCACCTGCTTCAAGCCGAGCTCCATTCTTCTGGCACTTCTCCCCTTTGAACCAAAAAATCCCCAAGCCCAGGTCGCTTTCAGCCGGCCGTGTCCACGTCCAACCGATCGCGATCGAGCCGATCGAGCCGAGCTCCGGGGCCCCGGCAGGTCGTCGCTGCCGACTTGCAGCGCCTCCTCCATGGCAGCGCGGTGGTCGTTCAACAGGACCCAGGGCCTAGCGCCGTGAAGGCGCGGGGCAAGAACTGGCGGGCTAAAGCCGTAGGCAGCGAACCAGGGAGTGGAACGGCACCGAGAAAAACCATACTGCTGGTTGGGCAGGAAAGATGTTTGTTGGGAATCACCCCCACAAATTTGTTATTCACCCTCCAGCTGGTGGCTTCCTTTCAGGGAATCCTCCGGTTCCTTCCCGCTGGATTCGGTCATTCCCTCCAGCGAGGCTCCCCCGAGCCTCCAAAGTCTCAATCTCAATGGCCCAATGGCGAGCCGAGGGGCTGGAGGGATTTGGGGGTTGCTTCAAGGGGAAACCACCAGGAGATCAACAGGAAAAAATGATTTAAAAAAAAAAAAAAAAAAAAAAAAAAAAAATGTTCTAAAAAACAAAGACACCCATCGCCCAAAGAAATAAGTATGGGTTTGGCTCAAAGATAGGAGACGCCAAAACACTTGGTTCTCTTTTGGCCTCCCCCTGAAACCAGGCGAAAAGGGGTGCACGCCATGAGAAAAGCGACAAATCGCTAGACTCCAACGCGTTCAAATCGCCCACCAAGGGGGAAAAAAGGACCCCACTCTCCCTCGTTCCCTTTGGTACTATTCAGGCGCTGCCAACTCTCAAGTGGGCGTCTCTACCCTAAAGTTTTGGTGAACCCGGCGGTTTTTTCTGGAAAGCGCTACCCCAAAAGGGCCAAAAGGAGCAGAAAGAAATTTCCCAAGGCCGAGTGCCCTGCTTGCGCTGCAGCCGCGGCAGCAAGCCCAGCTGGTCCGCCAGTCCAGCCAGGTCCAGCCTTCAAACAACAGCTGGCGGTTCTCTCCGAGTTGGCGCGGAACCGGAAAAACCTTGGCGTTGAATCTTGGGACACTTCAAGATTTGACGCGGAACTGGCAAAATGGCGGGTTGGGAGTGTCTCCAAACGGGAGGGTTAACTGATAGACCACCGTGCCAACCATCTGTCCCATCAAAAGTCAAAATGCAGGTGCTCCCTTCACAAGTGCAAGAAAGAGTTCGACATGTTTGCTCGCAAGGCGAATTACACAGGTCATTTGGGGAAGGCCGGCGGCACAGTCGCAGAATTGCTTTGAAGCAGCTCAAGTCCGCAGAGGGCCTCTAACATACTTGCCAAAGGCTTCAGCTGTACCACTTGTCGATTGCAGAAAGGATGAATGCCCTGTCAAAGTAAGAAACACGCTCTGGAAACTTGCAAGATCAAGAAGCAGTTGCCGCTTTCCCTCGGTCTCTTTGCTGAGGGACGTGGATGATGTCCAAACGTGGCAAGGTAGAAAAGAGTGAAGCCAGTAGGGTGTGCACAGGCGTGCAGTGCCATGCATGTCCCCCTGCTTCCCACATAAGAGCCAGAGCCCGCATGAGGCACGACTGTGCCCAAGCCCAGCCTGGCGCTCTGCCGAAAGCGCTAGAAACGAAGCAGCTTCTTCGCACCTCTCTCCATTTTTAAAAAAATGTGTTTTCTTTTCTTATTTCAAAAAAAAGAAGTTTCAATCCGTCAGGAAGTTCAGGAAGAAAAGAACTCCGACGACCGCGTCACTCCCCGCCTCCTGCCCTTCCGCCGCGCGCCGCTCGCAAGCTGCCAGAGGCCGCGCATGGGGTCGGTGGGGTTGGCCGGAGGCGCCGCAAGAAAACAAACGGCTTGAGGTGTTTCAGTTGGGCGGCTGGTCGCTGAAACCGCTATCTGGAGAGAATACCTTGTCTTAATCCAGGGCTAGGGTGGCTTCCTATTTTGGTTTCCCTAGGAAAACAACCCCCCCCCCCCAAACGGTATCCGATGGAGCTTGAAGAACAGGCCTAGCTGCCGTCTGAGCGCAGTCTTGGGACAAGATGCAGTGTAGCTGCAGCCATCAGCGCCGGCCGGCTTCAAGCATTGATTCATGGATGGTGCGGTGGGATTTGGCCAAACTGGATGCTTGGACCGTCTGGTCGGATCTTACACATCTGGCCACACCCTCCAAGCATCCAGCCGAACACAATCTCACATGACTGAACGCAATCTCACATCAAACATCAAAGCCGTCCCGGCAGGCAGCAAGCGCGTTTCGCTTCGCTCTCCCCTGGAAACAATTGCCGTGGTCGCCCTCACGGTTGTCACTGCAACGAAGCAGCACGGCAAAAGGCCCTGAACCCCATGGCACTGCGAGTGCCCGCCCATGCAACCCCTGGGGCTCGCCAAGACTCTCAAGGCCCAACTGCGACCCCTCGAAGGTCTCAAGATCATACTGGTTCAGGGCAAACCCCCTCACTGGGAGAACTGGCTGGTGCGATACGCAGGGAATGAGAAATGGGATGACCCCGATTTAAACCGTCCCCTATGGTTTCCTAGAGAATCCTCAAGTTCATTCCCTCTAAGAAATGGGTAACAGCCCTTCTGAGCATACCCCGACCCAAAAATTATCCATTGGAAATTTAGTTGCATGTCCAAAATAGCCTGTTTAGGTCTTTGCGGTATCTCCCAATAGGGGCTTCAGATTTAAGGGTAGCTGGCAGGCTCGAAAGTACCTCGCTCTGTTTGGGCGCAACATTTTGCGTTTCCCGAAATATCTTGCGGGCTGTTCAAACACAAAATTTGGGTTTCCTCGATATCTGGGTTGCTGCTATCCGACAGTGTTGCTATAAACAATGCTTTTTGGACTGTTTGGACTCTACAATGGGGATATCTTGGGGGGCTGCTTGGGCACAAAAACTTGGGTATGCTCCAAATTTTGGATTCGGGGCTGCTTGGTCACATTTCTTGGGGTATGTTTGATTGTCCTTAAAACACCTCGGGTTTTCAAGGAAAATCTAACATACCCCAATCTTTTACACCCGGGAGCCGAAATCTCAGAATTTTTGGGGTATGTTAGATTTTCCTTGGAAACTCGAGGTTTTTGAGAAAAATATAGCATACCCCAAAAATTGCAAATTTTAGGAAATTCAGGCTACGCAAACTGTAGCTCTCCACTTCTCAGGATAACCCTTTTGGACACCATCCCACAAAAGTCCCACCCGCATGCTCACCCGTGTTACGCGCTGTTTCCCTATTCATAGCAGCTCATGGCTCTTGGGTGAAACCCAGCCCCTTTTCCATGACAGTTCCCCCTTTGGGGCAACATGAAACAGTAGCCATTTTTAGAGCCCCATCGGAGCGTGCCAAACGCCCAATGCTGCCCAACGCTGCAAATCCATAAAAATCTCTCCAAAACACGAAAGGTGGGGGTATGCTGAGAAGGGTTGTTAGAGGATCCTTAGATTCCCTCATTCCCTTCCTATCGCACCAGTTTGCAGTTATGTGCAACTGGACCCGAGTGACGCTCAGCTTGCTCCGAGCTTTGGGCCGAACCTTGCCCGCCCGCTGAAAACCGCAGGCTGTGTCGCAAGAACGGCCGAATTCAGCGAGACTGCAAAAGGATGCATTCTCATTTAAATGTGTGCAATGCCGCATCAGATTTGCATCCCCTCTTGCAGTCCCTGTGCATCAAATTTGGAGTGTCCCCGCCGCGTCAAATTGAGCCCATCGGGGCAAAATTTCAGGGGGGTCGGACGCATCCTTGTGGGGTGTCAATAATCTGGAGGAGCCCCTATTGAGACAAGCTGCCGAGCGTATTTCAATTGGGCTTCGCTCCTGTTAGTCTCTTGGCACAGGCCTACGACAGCCAGTCATGCAAGTAGCTGATCAGGCTGGACCTCGGCCAGCCTCTTTCTCTCTCTCTCTCTCTCTCTCTCTCTCTTTCTCGCTCTCTATCTCTCTCTCTCTCTCTCTCTGTCTCTCTCTCTCTCTCTTTCTCTCCGTCTCTCTGCGTGATGGCTCATTTGAGTGCGCATCCACAAACGAGCTTGGCTTTCCATTTGGTTTCCCTTTTAGCCAACCAGATACTGTCAAACAGACACAGCCATGTTTTGTCTCTCATGATCTTCGAAGCTTTTTAGTGGGAAAACTCGCCAGAACGGTGGCCATGCGGGGAAGACGCCCCAGCATCCCAACAAAAAAAAATGAGGTTATGAACTCAGTCTTAAGGACCCTCAAAAGAGGATCCAAAAACTCCCAAGCCAGCTCGCTCTAAGAGGCCCACCCCAACAAGCTCCCAAGGTCGCCTACGAAGAGCCAGTAGGAAATGGCGATGAGATTGAACTCCTGGGAAGTTGGCTTTTTCAACACAATCCCACAGACACCCACAGACTCTTGACATGAAATTGAAAAACATAATGGACCAGATCAGAAAAAGTGTGGCTTTAGCAAACGCCGACACCAAGTCTCCCAACAAAAAACGGGTGAACTTCAGCTTTGTCCGCGCCAAGGGTAGCAACGCCAGGTCCTGCGGGATGGCGGTGTCCACATGTCGGCCTCACAATGAAGAATCCACTGCTTGCGGAAATGTGCAGAGAGTCAAGAAAGCGAAACTCTCAGGGACCACTGGCCGAGTGAGCCACTGATGGTGCCATAGATGAGCCCGTCGCCGAGCATCACCTCATCAGTCGCCCAGCAAAGAACTCGTCAGGGCCAAGCGCTGGCCAGCAATGTGCTGGGCTGCATTGAAGAACAAAGCCGCTCTTGAGCATCAATGAACAAATCTCAAAGGCACTCAAGACCTATCGATTGGCAGGGTTGGGGGGGTTCGTTGTTCAAAGGATTCGTTCTAAGGATTCGTTCGGAACAATCGTTCGGAACAACACATCCCCCCGAAGAACAACAATGCCCCTCAAAGAACAACCCCCCCCCCACCCCGCCAGCAAGGCAAAGGCAGCGTCACGCAAGGGCCAAAACATGCTGAACTATGCAAGCCGACGGCATGTAACCCATTGGCCAAGTTCAGGACAAAGGGCCAAACCCAGGACTTGAATATCTTGGACCCTGCCAAGCGGCGAGGAAGGCACCAGCCGGAGCAAGCACCTCAAGCTTGCTTGAGCGAAAGTGCGCTCGGCACCGGACAGAGCCGAGATGAATAAGTCGTCCTATCCCAACCTACTTGCAAAGCCACCGACTTGTGGTGTATGGAGATGTCGCGACCAATCATTCAGGCTGGTGCATGGATTTTTTGCCGGTCATGTCGGCCTGGCTCAATAGATTCATTGCGCAGCCGGTTCGGCTCTCTATTTAGCCATCCGTTGAATGACATCCCAATCAAAGGCTACATGCGAACATGAAATATGGTGCCCGCATTTGAAGCAACGCTCTTTGGGCTGCTGAAACCAAAGCGAGAGCGGCGAACCCAATAACGCAAACTGCACGATAAAACACAACGCCGGCAGGCGAACAGGGGCGAGGCATGCCTTGGGCAGTCGGGCGGGCAGGCAGGATGGTAGGTCGGCAGGATGGTCGGTCGGCAGGATGGAAGGCCGAACAGGGGGGCAATCCGGTCAGATCAAATCGATGGATGTTTAGAGATTGCACAACACCCACCCTTCCTGGGCCGGACCCACGGGCCGGCGCAGCAGCAGCAAGCCAGCGCCCAAGGCGTTGAAGCCTTCGGAAGGCTGGTCTTCTGGGGTTCACCTGGTTCACCTTGGTTTGAAGGGAAGACAAAGGAAAACCATGAGGCTACCCTTTTCACCTTGTGTTAAAAGGGAAACCCAGAGGAAAACCAGCTTTGGGTACCCTTTTCACCTGACACATACCCACATGGCAGGATTGCTTGTCCGCATCCGTAATCTGCGCTGGAATACCACTAGGAAACCGCTACCATCTGGCAAAATAAATTAGAGTTGATTTTGAAGCCAGCCAACAAATGGCCACGACACGACACGACACGCCGATGTCCGGTGTCGAGGCCCAAAGGAAACTTGAGAAAATGCGGCAACAACCTGGAAGTAATATCAACCCATCCATAAACCGGTCGCATTACTGTACCAGGCGTGTCATCATAGAGAAGCCTGTGTCCTTCTTGTCCTTCTTATTGAAACTGGTGGCATCCAACTCTTGAGCGATGTTGGTGTTCTCAGACCACAAGCAGATTGACTTAAAGAGCCGGTGGGGCTGGAAATGGCCGGCCTCAATCTGATCAAGACGCAAATTACTCTACATGCGACTCAGCAATGGACTGATGATCAGTTACAGCCATGGCCCATTGAAACTGGGCGGTTTGGAGGATAGAAAAGTGGATCAAGGGACTCTCGCGGATACATTTTGGCTTCAAGGCTCAGTGATTTGTTCCTTCTGTGTTTGGCCATCTGTGTTTCTGCTCTTGGTAGCAGCAAAACTGGTGAATCAGAACAATTCACTGACTACAAAAGAAATCCGTTGCCAACATCCTCAACATGAAACGTCACCCGCATCCATTCGTCCCCAACATTCCCGACTAAACTTAGGGTTTAGCCAGCAGGCAACTCTCCCCCGCCCCGCAAGTGGGCCGCCCAGCCGACATAGACCGCAGGGTGGCGCTGTGGCAAGCGATAGCTGAGCCAGCGCCCGCAAAGGCCTGCGAAGAAAAGTTGATTTTGCCCCGTGAAGCTGGTTGACGTGTGGCCATGGGTCAAAATCCCGTACCCCCAAGTGAACATCCCAATCCCCACTAAAATAGACTAATATGGGTGGTGCGCCTGCCCCAGAATGGTACCCTTGGTTTTGACCCACAGCCGTGTCAGGTCTGAAGGTTGTCTTAGTCTTCGGCAATTCAAGCTGTGGCTGCGGCTGCTTATTGGAGATATACCCTCGAATTCCTTAAAAAGGTGCTGCTTGACATGCGAATCGCACGTAGATGTTGTGAATCTTCCGCATGCCACTGCGTTTGCGCCAGCCTCCCAGCATGTTGGCCGTATTGTAGAAGGCGAAGAACCTAGGCTCATACTGCCTTCAAGATGCCCCGCGAAATTTCCCCCTTGCGTGCCAAGCCTTCTGTTCTGAAAACCCAGGCAACTACTTACAAACTGCTTCTTCTTTTGTTGTTTGAAACTCGCTCCCTCCATAGAGATGAGATGATTTACGTGCTGGCACCCAACCGTCAAGAATCGTGATATGGTCACAACCCTTGAACCCTGTTGTTGTGACAACCGTTCCAGCCAGGGAATCGTGACGGATCCACCTTCTTCACCCACGGGACTCTCTTGGCCGCCCAGCGTCTTCGTCTCCAACACGAAGCCTTCAGTCAGCTGAACCACTTCCTGACTCCCACACTCCCAGGTCGGCTGCTGGCCCTGGGGAGACTTTTAGACACACTTGTTGGCCGTATGGCGCACCTCATTGAAAGAGTCTCAGGAGTGCGCACGACACACTGCAACACAAAAGCTCACGTGAACTTTTGGAGAAAACCACGAAATCATAAGCTCCGTGGATTCAGGAAAGGTCATCTTAGGCCAAACCCGAAGGGGTTCACGGTTTCGCACACACAGCAGTAGGCTCAAGTCGGCGAGTCTCCTTTTGGGTTCCCTTTCAGACAACCCAAAAATACCCTTGACACGCACGTCCTTGTTGTAGACGTACAAGGAGAGCCCGGGGGAGAAGCCCGCAAGGGTGAAAGTGTCGACCTGAAGCCGGCCCAGCACAGCCCAGCACAGCCCAGGCCGGCCCGCACCCGCCCCTTCACACGGCCCAACTTACATCTACTGGGGGACTTCTCCCTCAAATGGGTCTCTCAGCCAGAGACCAGAAGGCCAAACCAAAACCCCTCCAGGGGTCTACCCGGTCCACCCGTAGGCAAATCCCTCTGGGCCGCCCAAGCCGCAAAGGCCAAAGGATAATGCCACAGCTGCGGCAGCCAGTGCCTAGCGCAATGAGGGCGGAGATGGACATCGCCCATCCGCAAGGTGTGCTGATGCTGAACATGAAGCGCCTGGGGGGGGGGTATTCTGGGGGTTACTTGGACATACTGGCCAGAAAAACAGAGTCCAAGCCGGAAATATTTCTCTGCAACGAATGGAAAAGGTGAGAAAGTAAGGGATACGACGCGCAAACCCCGCCTGCACCCCTTGCAATCAGCCAGCAGCTCCCGAACTCCGCCCATGCCTTCGCAGTGGGTAAAAGGTGTGCTCCAGAGCCGCGGGAGATGCGGGCACTCCCCACCCTCAGAGCCTTTAGCTCACCCACATCCTAAGGCCAGCGTCCAAAAATCTGCACCATGCTGCAGTTTTTCCTTCCGGGCCCACTTGCTGCTTGGATGGCATCCGGGCTTCGCACAACGCATCCGATGGCACCCATCACAACCCTGCCCACAATGACCCACACGCCGTTCCAAAACACAAAGCATCAACCTGGTTTCAAACAATTTGTTCAGGATCCTGGGGTTGGCCACACAATGCGATGCAGCATGCTGAATGTCCCAACTTTTGAAACAGCGATGCGAAGATAAATGGCTCGGAACACACATGTCTTCATTCGGACACGCATGTCTGTGGGTTTGAGAACACACGTCAGTGTGCGAGCACACTGTTAACACACATGTGTACAGACTAGGCACGGAGACATCTGCGTGTACACTCGGAACACACAGCGCGTGCGCGCGTGCGGAACACAAACGTAACAATGTTGGGCAAACAAATGCAAACGCTCGAAACAGGCGCGCGGGCGAGCACGCAGAACGCGCCTCTGCACACACTGCAAACGCACATGCGCGCTGGCTCCACTGCGCAGAAGACACACGCGCGCGCACGCTCGGCACACACGTGCGCACACTTGGAACAAGCACGTGCAGGTATTTGGGGCAGAACACACGTGCAGGTCTGCCACGGGCAAATATGAACGCGTACGCCCTCGCGCTCGCGCGCACGGAAACTTCACTTGGAACAGACTGAGCAGGCGCGCGAACGCGGGCGCGTGAGCACGTAGGCTTCCTGGCCTTCCAGGACACGCGAGAAAATGGCTCTAAGGCCCAAACAGACAGAAAGCTGTCAAGACTCGCTCACTGGTGTTGTGACTGACTATTGCACTTCGGTGAGGGAAATGCTACTGGAGCCTCCCTTGCCCAAAACGCCACAGCCGGCGCAGCTTGTGGGACGCCGCTTGTGCGCTGCAGCGTGCAGGAAAAAGCGCACAGTCCTTCAATACCCGAAAAAGACAAGGTAGGAAAGGTTTGGGTTGAGACAAATGTTCGTTCAAAGCCCCATCAAAGCTCAATCCCACCAGGCTCACGTGACGCAGCTACGTCTCATGTTTCTCGTTCGCCATCTCTCACGGTGGGGTTCAATCAAATCATGTCAGATCCACCCCGGCAGCGTTTCAAAAAAAAATGAACAAAAAAGAGGGAGAGAAAATAACAAGAGGAAAAAAACAAAACTCCCGCCCCCGGCTCTTCGTGTCCTTGACCTTGAAAAGCATTGTGTTCTTTCTCGACTCGCGGCTCGCCGCCTGCTTCCCCATGCCTGGGGATCCAAATCGCAAAGACGAGCCTCAGAGCGCTGGTCCGCTCAAGGTGACAGCCCCGGTAGGGGATCGGGGATAACTAGCGTCATCTAATTTGGAATGACACTCTACACTCTAAACCACAGAGCACCAAACACCGCCAACAAAAAGATTACCAAACAAAACACAAAGGTGGCAACAGGACATCCTTCAAAACCGCTACAGGGAGGAAAAACAAACAAAAACGTGCCTGTTGTGGAACAAGTAAACCCTTCGAGGTGCAAACACGCTTTACTTTTTTAGAATCGCAAAAGGGGACATGAGCTTAAACCTGCTTGTTGACGTTTTTTTTCCGGCGGTCAGAAGGCAAGTCAGAAAATCAAAGATCCTTGGACCCTCAAAAAGTTGGTCTCCCAAATAGCCGATCCACAAAATGAGACGCCAATGTGGGCGACCGGCGTTGTCACGCACGGGGATTCCCTCGGTACACCTTTACAACTAGCTTCCAAGGGGACCCCGAATGACTCATCGCAACTAAGGAGTCTACCCAAATATGAAAAGGGCGAATTCATTTTGCAAGGGGACAGCAGGCTTACCAGGCGAATCCCCTTAACGCTGGGATGGGATCGCATGTGGTAGGCGACAACAACGCCGAAGCCTAGCGTTTGATCTTAGGTTGAGGTGGAAGGTAGCGTGAGATCGGGTGAGAACAAAAGGTTTGAAATCCAAATCAACCCCTTTTGGGTCAGGAAAGGCCATAAATCCAAACCAACCCCTTTTGGTTTGGTTTGGCCCAGCCAATTTCAAGCAACCGGAAACACGGGACTACGCCCTCCGCTTTGCTTCGAGCAGCAGCCCCAGCAAGTTCAGCACCGCCACGGCGAAAAAGACCTCCGTCACCGGCACCTCCGCGTTTTTTTTTTTCGGATTTGATCCAAAGAATGGGGTTGTGGGGTACGCTAAAACCATCATGATTACAATGGTTGTAATTACCCCTTTTAGGAATGATGGTGAACTATCATGTAGTGGTAATTCTACCCCATGGTTGTTTGGTACGTTAAAATCATCATGATTTCAATAGTAAACTATTAGGAATTGGTTACCCTTTTTGTTTCCCTCTTGACGGTTGTCAGGTGTTGGGAAGGAACGCTAAACAAAAAGGAATAAGTGGGACAAGGCGGGAACCAGCAAGTCCTGAAAAACATGGCTTCTGGGGTTGCTTTTGAGGGAACGCAAGGGTGTGTTTGACCTTTCATTCATCAAGGGCTGACATTGTTTCCGTGTTCAGACAAAACTTGAGCCTTATCCCGCACACCGTGTCGCGTCACACGCGAGCACGCTCGTATGCACAGCTATAAAGTATGGTAGCAGCGGCAACAGGAAATAGAAACCCAGGGTGTCCCGCATTTGGAGACAAACCCGCATGGGAGCCACATACGCTTACTTGTTCACGCTCAAGTGTGCATAGTTACCTTTCATGCTGTTGAGTAAAATATGCAAAATGTAATGCCATCTGCAAAGCAGCAATGGTCTCAAAAAACCCTCTGTTTTCGGGTCTTGAGTGGATCGGTGAGTGTTCCAAATTGGAACCTGTCTTCCTCCCATCATGGACGTGAAAGCTAGCTTCTAAGGTGAGAACGTTGGAACACAACAGCCTGGGGCAACCTGCAGTCCCCCGTCTAGCTGGATTCAGTTCGCAGGCCTGCAGGGGCGGGCCCATGAGAAAGAATCCTCCGATCAGGATGCTGTTCACACCCAGTGGAATGCCTCAGTCCCATTGCTCTTTCGCCGAGAAAAAAAAACGCTCGACCTTGCGGCTCCCAGATTTCTCCCCCCGCCTTCAAAATCACCGGGGGCCCCGGCTGGAAAGAGCAGCAGGGTTGGGGGTTGGGGGGAAAACGACTGACGTCAACCACGAGGGCCACCCATGGGCGCCCCAGTTTCTCTCCATCCGCAACGCGCCAAACACGAAAAGCTGAGCCTCCGGCCCAAGATGGCCAGCCGCTTGGTCCTGTGCCCAAAGGGCGTGAGGCAGTTCAAGAGGTTGGACTCGAAGGAGCCCATGGCCTCGACCGCGAAGCCGCGAAGCGACAGATCCGGCGACGAAAACACGCGTGAAATGCTTCAGACGACCCCATTGCACCCATCCGTTTGGGACCCCCAACCAAGAAGCTGCGCCCCAGTCAGAAAACAGCAAGGAAGAGAATCTCTGCCTGCACAACTCGCGCCCTCCAGAACGCAAAAGAAAAAGAGTCCTGCGGCCAGCCAAATGAAAAAGCCGCAAAAACCTCGGGGTATATACATCGGACCAGGGCAGGGCTTGGAACTCTTTCCGAGCCCATGTGCCTCAGGGGACCCCGAACAGGTCCCTATGGCACCTCCCGTCTCACTGGTGCGCCCAGGCGCCGCCCCGCCCAGGGAGTACGCGAGGATCACCTCGGGTGAGAGGCCAAAGAGAAGAGAAAAGAAAACAAAACTGGGCGGTGCTCAGATCCCTCCCTAAAATTTCTCGACTTTCAGTGGGTGAAGTGGAAATCCAACCACTAAACAGGAAAAAAAAGCTCAGAAAACCTAAGGGGATGGAAACCACCAAGCGTCAGGAGCCTCATTGAGAATGATGCCAGTCGACCCCCGATGAAGCGCTGGTTTGGCTCAAAGAGTTAAACGGATCGCCCTATAAATCGACCATCCGGGAAGTCGCCAGCCTCGGTGCCTCCCCCAAAAGCTGTTCAGAGGATGATCTTTGTGGTGGCTTGTCGAAATCAAATTCGACTATTTGTAGTGGCCCCACAAAGAACACTACCAGCAACAATGAATAGCGTGTCGGCATGATCGCAGCAAGCCTAGTTGATCAGATCTGTCAGGCAAGAACCTATCAGATCGGAGAAGCTACTGAACAAGAGACAATGCAGAATAGAATCGGTCAAGTGAACACAGGCCAACAAGTTACATTGCCAAATGCCAGAGAAACACAACACTGAATAAGTCAACGAGAACGTTCCTGCATCACTCAAGGGACTCCCAAGCAAAAACGAAAAATCAATCAGTTCAGCAAGCTAGTCAGATCAGAATCAAACGAAAAGAGAAATGAAGCAACCTCGCCCCTCCCACCGAGTCAAACACCCAGTAAAGGTCGTAGCACTCCATTGTGAGAACCACCACCGACATGACAAGCCTCAGCACCCATTCGCATGGGTCAAGGCTAAGCAGCTGCTCGCCAACCACTCGCTCGAGCCTTTCATACCGGTATGGCTCAAATGGACCCTTTGAACCTTTAAACTGCTGAGCTTCCGGTTGACTTCCCTTTGGCGTTGCTCAAAGACCCAACGCGGTTCCCCCCAAAAGCTGCGCTGCCGAACCCTGCGGCCCAGGGCCCGGTGGCAGAAAAACGGAGCGAAAGACTAACACTTTCAGCCCAGCGGCATGGAGAGCATCATGCAAATCTGCGCCACCTCAGCTCAAACTGAAACTGGCCCCACGGTTTAAGGAATTCGGGGGGGAAGAGGAGTTCCAAGTTGGCTAAGGAGTTCCAGATCGAGCACTCGTCGCAATGAATGTCTTTTTGTGTGGATATATAGCCTTGGGAGGCGAAGCACGCAAACTCGGCTCATCCTGCTTCGCACATCAGGCGAGCAACGTGCACTCGGGCTCGCGGATGAAGTCTGCTGAAGACTACCTCTCGTGGTTGTCGCTTGGTCGCTCAGGTGTTGATTGCAACATCAGCGCGCTCACGGAAACTTCTGGCAAAACAAGCCTGGCTCATCTAAACGCATATCGCACCCTCGAAACGTCAATCCAAGATAGCCCTTGCCACAGAAACAGCAAGGTCAGATTCAATGCCTCTCTCTCTTTCTCTCCCACGCATCACCTATGTCAAGAAATCTCCAGCTTGCCTTGTGACCAATCCGAAAGATGAGGCCAAAGAGATAGAGACAGGACCTGGGCCATCTCAAAATTCGCGGTGGAAGGATCACTTCTGCCCCGGGGTCTGCGCCGCGCTTGGCCGCAGCTGTGAATTGGGCTGAACTCTTTGGCAGTGGGGCAGGGAGGATTGCCTACACGTTGGGCGTGCAAAACTTGCAAACAATCTTGGAGGACTTGCAAACTTCGACTTGAAGCAGGGCAGGAATACCGGGTAGTGTTCGGTGCAGGGTGTCAGCACTTGCTGCAAAGCAACACTCTCAAGAGCAGGCATGGGCGGATCGGGTTGGACAGTACTTGCCTTCCCAGAGTCACCTTGAAGCAAACAGCTAAGAAGTATCTGCAAATGCTTAATATATTGTGTCACAGCGAGCCGGGGCATGTGGAGTGCAAACAAAATAATAAGGCGCTTTATAGGAAGCTTGCACTGTGGGAGCATGGGGACAGTGTCGGGAAGCCACCCGCTTCAGCCCGCTGCGCACCCAACTTGAAGTGTCGCATCAGGCGGGTGGTGCAAGCGTGTACATCCCCAAGGGACGCGGAGAAACACAGCGAGTGCAGCAGCCGCAATCCGCCTTCGAGTCTGAACAAACCCTTCGCGTCTGAAAAAACGGCAGCTGGCCGACCTATGGCTGCTTCCAGAACGGCCCATTTTGGCAACAGACCGAGGTGACTCCGACCTCACGACCCACGACACCTACCAGGCTGTGGCTCAAAATTAAAGGGTTACGCAGATGTTAGTCAAAAGGTGCCAGCTTGGTACATTTCTTTGAGCCACAGCCACCACTCCAAACGGCCCATGGCTGCACCCCAGTCCTTCCCTCGCCCGAGCGGCACTGCCGCGCCGAAGTGGTGGGAGGCCGCAGAGCTGTCGTCCGCGATGCGCAGCCGCGCCTCCATTCGGTCCATGCAACATGGGCCTTTGGGTCAAAAATAGGTTAACCCCAAAATGGCACCCTGGTACATGGAAACAATGACTAAAACCTGTGGTGCCCTGGTGGTTTGATTTTGACCCATTCCCACATGGGTCTTTGGGTGGAAGCCCCTTACGGAAGAAGAAAAAAAACGGAAGCAATTTGAGCGTCCGCGCATTCTGAGCTTTGTCACTTTGTCTCGTCGTATTCCTTCTTGCATCCATTTGAATCAAGTGAAAGCAAAGGCCTGGTTTCAGAGTTCGGCAGACCTGGCCGACCTTCAAAACTGCAGGTTTTCCGCCGACCGTGTCGCCCGACCACTGCTAGCCTTCACCTCATGCTGGAGCCCAAAGAGCGCTGCGTAGCCCGAGAAGCAGGGGAGCACCACAAGAATGCTCTCCCAGTAGACCTCTGCGCTGCAACCACTCTTCTGCATGGACACCAATTCAAAGCTTCCAGGATTATACTGTTCTCGAACGGATAGGCCGTGGTATCCTTCTCATGGACTGTTGAGTTGCTGCAAAGACTCTAGGCCACTGCCTTTTCTTCGCGTGGCTTCAGTACTCACCTGGAGCCACCCCGTGAACTCGAGCTTTGCTCTTGTGTCTTCCAGTGCACGGGTAACAAAGCTGTGCCGAGAGCAAATGACTCCAATTATTTGCCCCTCGGACCCCAGGCGCCACGGTCAACATCTGTCCCCCACCGTTTGGGAAAGTTCCGTAAGCCCGGGCGTCTCCCCCAAACCCCAAGTTCAGGGCATTTCAATCGAGCCTCGCGCAGGTTTTTTCTGAGGGCACGGCGTCCTCAGGGCACTGGGCCTGAGCCTACAGCGCAAACGGGCACATAATCTGCAAGGCATTCATTGCCGAGGGAGGATGTAGCCAAAATGGAGCCCTGGTAAATGGAAACATGGACTAAAATATGCGGCCCAAATCCTGGTGGCTTAATGTTGACCCATACCCAAATAACCCCATAGCATCGGATTTTCGAGCTGCGATGCAAACCTCCGGCGGAGGTCTTGCCACGCGCCTCTCGCGCCAGCAAGCGCTCTTGGAGGCTGCTGCAAGGGGAGGCCTGCGAGCGACTGGCAAGGCAAGCGCCTCTGCCATAGGTGTCCTCTTAGGGGAAATAGATGGGTTTCCCTGGTAGATGATTAAACCACCAGGGAAACCCGGGCCCTGTATGTTTCAACCAAATCAACCAACGGCTGGTGTTGCCTCTCGTAGGAACCCCCTTTTTTTCATCGGCCAATGGCCGATTGACCCCGCTTGTGAGCCAGGACTCTCTGTTGCAAAGCGCCCACAACGGCAAGGACGGAGAAAAAAGACTCAAAGACGCTGCCTTTCTTGACCCTCCCGTGTGGGTGTGGCTCAAGACTAAACCGCTGGGGTTGCGCAGGAGTTTGTCCACCTTTCCATTTTACCATGGTTCCAGTTTGGACCCCCATGTTCGAGCCACACCCATAAAGACAAACCGAAACTTTGTCCCATTGCTGCCCGGGGCGTAGCAGGCAGCCGATGCCACCGGGATAAGCCGATCCGAAGCAGGTGTGCAGCCAGGCAACGCTGCACATGAGGCAAGAACAGAAGGGGGCCCAAGACTAGAAAGCGTCATAAAAGCCCCAGCAGTTTCATGTCGGCCTGGTTTCCAGAGGGCTCCAAAAAGGGAACACGCATGAAATGGTTTTGTGAATCCTCCAAACAAGCGCAACGTGGGAATCTGTCCTGTTCTCAAGTTTGTTGCGTAGTTGCAAAACACAAGCACGGGAGTTGTGTTGAGCAGTTGCCGGAGCTAACCTCGTTCAAATGCCTTCTCCACACAAGATGTGGCTCCCGGCAGCAAGTCCAGTCCCGGTACACCCGCAAACAACTACTCCTCATGGGTCTGTGTCCCTAAAAAAACACAAATCTGCTTGGAACCCCCGAAAAATGGAGTTCACAATAGGCGGTCCCAACCCGGAGACCCGGGGCCTCCGGATCTCTCCAACGGACTGGCCCTCAAAGGATGGCGGGCAGGAACAGGACCTTGCCCTCTAGCCAACGAGAGATATAACATCATGAAGAGTAGGAAGGCTAGTATGCACTGAAATATTGCCGAGATTGTGAGAATGAAACGGCATGGAAGCAATGATAGCCAAACTAGAGCTCCAAGTGAGATTCTAGCATATGCGCGATTCATTGATATTTCTCCCCCTCTTTATCCCCTCCAAACACAAAAGGAAGCTCCGCGCTGCCCCATGAATTTCCTCTTCGCCACACTTGAGCGATTCAGCTATGTGTCCAAACAAGCTGCGGCGACAGTGGGACATAGTTCACAAATCCCAGAGCGCAGCGTTGGTGTCGTGTCTCACTTGGCTAAACGAGGAGTAAGTGGGACAGGGATCAGTTGAAGGTTAGAATTGAGGATCTCATCTTGTTGGCCCTTTTCATTCCTTGCCAAAGGCTGTCATGAGTTCCTTGGTAATGTCCGCTTTGACTTGGGTGGCAACGCCCCAAAATCCGGAAAGCGACTTCACCTGGGACTCCCCAGGTGAAGCACGTCAGTGGAGTTGGTGGAACCGGGAGCTTGTGGACCGCCGTTTGTCGAAACATGGAACGCTGGTTGTTCCCACAGGGTTCCTCAAAAGATACATTTTGCCCATTTGAAAACATGGCTTTTTCCACCAAAATAAAGTGAAACCACCATGTACAAGGCAATGTTCAGGCGTATAATTTAGTGCATTGTCAACCAGCCGGCGCAGCTCGGTCCCTTGCAGCCACTGCTCCTCTCACTGTCGCGGCTACCTTGCGGACGCCGCTGCGGGGGGGGGGGGGGGGGGAGCATCCCCAAACAGTTTGGTACTTGAAGGACCTGCTTTTGCTTCTTTGTGATATTGTATTTGTTGTTTTCTGGGTTGTTTGCTCACTGCAGCAATGATCATTTCACCAGGCACATTGGACAAGCATTCAGGCGTCTGTGTTGGAACCCTGTGACGAGATCCTCCAAAGCAAGGTCGTCGTACACGTCAATCTATATCGCAAATCTTCACACTCATCAACCTCTGTTCATATTGAGAGTTGTGACGGCACCACCTGGGCTCATTTTTACTGCCCCTTGGCTTGCTCCCGTATTTGCCACCTATGTCCAAGCCTTGTGATTACGCTGCAATGGCGATTGCCGCCTCCCCTTTAGCCTTACATGTGGCCAACATTTCGTTGTTGCTAAGCAGACTTCAAAATGTGGCTGTGGGTCAAAACCAACGGTGCCATTTTGGGGTAGGTGCACCGTGTATTTTAGCAGGGATTTGGGATGTTCACTGCGAGTACAAGAGTTTGACCCATGGCCATGTGTTTGTACATGCAGAGAGAGAGAGAGACGCAAGTGCGCGCGTACGTGCGTATTCAAAAACACACGCGAACAAGTGTGTCTGCTTAGATTTATGGAGCCACCTACACATGCCTTTTCCCGACAAGCTCATGTAGTTGCTCATTTGGCAACTAGGGGCTGTTTCGGAACCTGAACATCATTTGAATGAAGATTTCTTTTTTCCACCAAGCATTCTGGACGCACCAACCCAGGAGTGGGTGTAAGAATCCAAAAAGAAACCATTCGCTCCATGACTAGGTCCTCCAGTAGAGAGGTTAGAATAAGGGTACCAACTTTCTTATGTAGTCTATTTTAGTAGGGGAGCCCTCCCCCAAAAAAGTTGGTAAACGGGCACCTAGTTGGGGGACCTAGATGAACCTTCGCAGCCATTCTGCAGCCTTAAGGCCGGCACCAGAGGCACGCCCGCTGCTGAGGCTCGCCGTCTCAGCATCAGAGTCGCGCCTGCGGGAGAAAAGGTCCAACTGGATTTGGGATTGGGGTGGCTTAGGGGGCCTGTGTTGGGTTGATTTAGCGTGGTTTGGGGATTGTGTAGTGCTGGTGCAGGTGGGTGTTAGGTTCGTAAAGGGTTGGTTTAGGGGGTAGGGAGGGAGTAGGGCATTTCTGAGGGTCCAACCGCAACAAAAAGTGCTTCCAAGATTTAGGGACCCCGTCCAGGTATCCAAGTGATTCGTTTCACACTGGCATCCATGTGGTGAGTGGATGGAGAATAACACATCGAGTGGTTGGGTTCATCTGACTTTCTCTGATAACCAACAAGTGATTGTATGGTGAGACAAATGAAAGGGCCCTTGACTGTATCAACACCTCTTGCAGCATCGAAAGGAAGCGCATGTTGAAACCAAAGCCAACCGGTTTCAGGGTCCTCCACAAAGCACCCAGATCTTGTGTGGTCCGTGTCAAATGATGCGCCAGGAGTTTATGCATAGGCACGGATTGGAGCGCACGGGAGCATTGGCCAAGGTGCATCTTTTAAACACTGGGACGCCAAATGAGCTGAACGCACACCAAACAGAAGTCCGGTGAATTCGGGCGTTCGCCCCCTTCTGAACCCGCAAAAAGATTCGCCACGCCGAACGCTATGCCCTCTGGCCGCACTTGCTTGCGCCTCTTCTCTGGGGTCTCAAAGACAAGTGATGCATCGGCTGTCATGACTTGCTGGTGCAATAGGTAATGACCTTCCGGATAGTGGGAACGAACCGCTTGGGGATTCCCTCAAGGGAAACCATAGGGGATGGTTATAGGGGTCATTCCGTCATTCCCTGCTGGATGGAGTTCAAATGGCATGCCACAGCTCTTTGGTCATTGGCTTCACCCCTCTGTGTGTACTGCGCAAAGCAGCTGGAGCCAAAGGCGAGACAGGCGAGGCGAAACATCAACTCCGCGCGCACAGGTTCAAAACTCCTGGGGCATGGGAGCGCTTCCCTTGAATTCAGCTAATGGACCATCAGCTAAAAGGGAAACAACCAGCAACCTGGAGATTTACCACGTGCCTGTGCAATGTGTTGGCTGGACATTACGCCAAAGGGGCTTGTAACCCCACAATGGATCTCTTGGCTTTTTTCGCGCGCATCAAGCGCATGCATGGCCGCGTACACCTCCAAGAAGCTGCGAGCAAGGCATAGAAAGGGCTGGGATTTCTGTCTCCAAGTGGAGGAACCCAAAAAACATGCGATTCCCTTTCCCCTCAATCCGCAAAAATTGGCAACCTCAAAAAAAGAAAAAGATTAACATATCCACACGCGTTGAGAATCTGGCAGGGACACCCGCGCAAAACTTGTGTTAGGTCATGCTGACTTGTCAACAGAGAAAGGTCCCCATCCGCAACCCTTTCCCGAGCTCCTGGGACTACCATTTGCGCAGCTCGCATCGTTTGGGATCTTCTGCCACCTCGGAACCAGCGCCATGGCCTGCACCGGTACCCAGGCATCCAGGGCAGCGTAGTGTGCCCGAGCCTCGAGAACTTCACCTCTCCCAGTGGGGGGTGAGTCAACACCCAACATGGGTAGGGAAATGTCCAAAGGGTCCCTTCCTGAATTTCCCCTCGCGCCTCTGACAGCGGCCGCTGCGCCCAGTCGCCAACCTGCCATGAGAGGCGGGGAATCCGAGGAACAGAGGAACCGAGGAAGGGGGGGGGGGGCAACACCAGCCATGCCGCCTGGAAGGTTTTGTCCAACGGCTTCCCGAGGTACTGCTCAGCCTATGCGGCACGCCAACTCTAGGGACGACTTTGGGTCAACCTGTTGAGCTTGGTACACCCCCCAGGCGGGAAGAGTCTGCGGTTCCTGGCGAAACTCCATCCCCCTTCGCGCTGGGCTTCTTGCAGGTCCGAGGCCCTCGCCAGGCTCGAAAGGCTCACTCCCTCCCGGGCCTTCTTCTTGCTCAGCTGACTCCTGTCGCTCCGGGAATGCTGACCGATTCCATGAAGGAGCGGTGCTTGGTCCGGGGGTTTCTTATTGGTAGTCCAATTGTCCACCAAGATCGCCTTGATTGATGACTTGGGGGTTCTTGCAACACTGCCTGGACGCACGAACACGGCCTGTGGGGAATGGCAGAACCAACTTCGCTGGGAGTGAACAGCCTGACTTTGTTGGCGCCTTGCTTGATGGATGTCCAAGAGCTGCTCAACCGACTCCATCTACCCCCCCTCAGCCCCACACGCTGCCGCACGGCGGTCGGCCTGCGGGCGAAGGCCCTCGCATAGGGAAGAATGTCGCCAGTCTTTCTGTCCGGACTTTGGCCTATCTCAACTTGGGGAGTCGATCAACCCAACAGCATAAAATGAAAATCATCCAAAGCTGGCGAGTGTCCCATCTTCTTTTTGTCCACGGCTGTTGTGTATCCGCCGTGCATCAAAAAGACCGACGCAGCAGCACATGGTCTCGCTCTTTTGGAGTTAGTGCCTATGGGGGGTTTTGCAGGGGATTATCAAGGAGAAAAACCAAACCGCTCCTTCGTCCCGGTTTGGGGGAGGAATTTTTTGAAGGGCGCTCTCAAGTGGGAAAAAACAAACCAAGCCGCTTGTGTTTGCAGGCGCAGGCTTGGCAAAGCCTCGAGATCTCGGAGGTCAACGAGGGGCTCTGCCGCCACTTTCAGGCCAGGGAAGCCCCCGGCGAGCTTGCCTGCGAGTCAAACGACCGAGGGTTTTGCGGCCTTGTTTTGGTAAAACCACGAGTTTCGTCACCCATAGGGGGCATGCATTTTAAGTAGGGACCCTTCGGTGGACATCATTTAGGTGCGGATTCATGTTCACCAACCCCTTTTGAGGTGGCTCCCTATAAAATTCATTCCCATATCCTTCTTTCACACCTTTCAAATTCATCTCACCTGGGGTAGAAACCATCCACTCGCCACGCCATCAGCTCAAATGGCCATCTCATACTTTGATTAGGAGTGCAGCGGTCAAGCCTCTTGATATCACCCCTCCACTTCGAAGCAAGATTTGGCACAGGGCACAGGCTCAACCGGAACCGGCCTAGGTCACTCGCTCCCGCGAAGCCAACTTTGGGCATCGGTGCCGCAAAAAGCTCCTCGCCGGCTTCGCGCTTTCGCCTTTGATTATGTCGGTAGCTGCAGGCGACGTCGGGGGTCCCTGTTCGAGCACAAAGGCGGCTCCCATTTCCTGAACTTCGCGTTAAACTTCATGGCACGGACCCCAGCCGTTGGGTCGAAAGAACAGGTTGGATCTGCGGGCTACAATGGCTGAATACAGCATGGCGTTTGTTGAAATACCTCGGTGGGTGCCATCTCGGCATGAAAAAAGCCTTAGAGACCCCAGACTGCTTGACAGAAGCTTCCCACTTACACCCGCACTTGCGGATCCAATGGGAGCCCGAGATGCCCATCCCCACAGCTTCACCGAAACCGAATCCCAACTCCTCCAGTGCCAGCGCCAGCGGCTGGAGGTTGCCCACGGCCAGCAAATCCACCTCAATATGGCATGTGCTAGGAGAAAACGAAAAAAGCGCCTGGGGCGAGCCAGATGCTGTGATTAGACTCCAGAGCGGTCATTTTTGGAATTCATATGCTGACACGTGGCGATTTGCTCTTTTATGACAGCAGAAAGGGATTTGCATGTGCCGCAGGCACTGGAGTCCTGGAATCCAACAAAAACTCAGTTCGGGTATGTGTCAACGAAACAGGACAGCCCAAAAAAACGGAAGATCTTCCTTTTGGCTTCCCCGTAAAAACAAAAGGCAGACAGGGCGCAAAAAGTCACCTGGGCCAACGAGCGAGCCCCGGGCCAAGCAAACGGCCCGGGCGGATGCCAGCTGCAGCAGGGTGGGCCTCAGGGGGGGGGGGGTGACGTCTTCCGCGTTCAGTCTTCACAACGGAACACGGAACTGGAACTCTAGGGGTCGCCCCAAACCCAATTCTTGCTTTTCAAGGGGTGGGGGCAAACTAGAGGACGATTGGCCCGAAAGCATTGAAAGCCATGTGTGTGTGGAAGGGATAAACTTGCGAGTGAGTTTGGCGAACATTCTTCAACAGCCGCTGCTATTTTGTCCGACGCGAAGCCCATTGTCTGTTCCTTCCTGCGTGGCCCTTGCGCAAGACAGCGTCCAAGTCACGCAGGCAGGGCTCGAAAGGGATCTGCGCAGCTCTGTGTGAAATCACTCGTCACACAAGCGCTTCAGCGCGAGGAGCACGTAGTCGCGCTTGCGCCAGGGCCGCAGCAAACCACGAGACAATTGCCAAAGACTAACTCGCAAGCAAAAAACGCAAAAAACCTCGAGTTTTTGCCGACCACGCCGACCCCCGCAGAGGGTTCATCCGGGAATGTCAAAAACGCAAAAAGCCTCGAGCTTTTGGTCGCATTCCCGATCGCCGGCAACATCCCCACCCGCCGCCAAGAAAGAGATTCTTAATACCGAGCTCTTTCTCTTTCTTTCCCGCGCGTTAAGTACTTAACCTCACTTACTTAACCTAGCTTACACAGCTGCTAACGCCGAGCCTCTACACCTAGCTTAGCTTAGCTCTACGCACCTAGCTCTTTGCACTTGGCTCTGTGCACTTAGCTCTCCTTGCACCTCGCTCTTTGCACTTCGCTCTGAGCACTTGCCTCTACGCGCTTGGCTCTTTGCACTTGGCTCTGCGCAAGTAACTCTATGCTGGTGACTCCATGCTGGTGACTCTGCGCAAGTATCTCCATGCTGGTGACTCTGCGCAAGTATCTCCATGCTGGTATCTCCATGCTGGTGACTCTGTGCAAGTATTTCCATGCTGGCAACTCTGTGCAAGCTACTCTGTGCTAGTAACTCTGCGCGAGTATCTCCATGCTGGTATCTCCATGCTGGTGACTCTGCGCAAGCTACTCTGCTATCTCCATGCTGGTGACTCTGCGCAAGCTACTCTGCGCAAGTTGACCAAGAGCTCCGCACGGAAGAACCCTTCGCAATGCTTTCGGGAAAAAAAGTCCCAAGCAAAACAATCAAAGGCCCTAGGATTGTCCTTGCCGATCATGTGAGCCACAGGCAGTGTTCCTTGTTGGCCCCAAATAGAAACGGGAACCCGAAAATCAACCATTGTGGTAATATGGGTATGTGTCCACCATCCTTCCGAACGGTCGGTTGCCCATGAAGCAAGCCCCCCATAAGTCCGCCTCCCTCAAGGTGCTCACTTTGACTTGGGCCAAAAGGTGATCTTCTAAAAAAACGAAGAAATGTTCGCTGATGTTGAAACCCACAGAAAGGGGAGGTAACAAAGGGGAGAGCCACGAGCTCTGGCCAGGGCGCGCACTGGCTGCCTCCGGGTCCTCCCATGCTGGACTCCTTGCAGTCGAGAAAGGCTCTTGGGGGCGCCTCATGCCTCTTAGATGTTGCCATGGGTCAAAAGCCAAATCGCACCCCCAGTGAACATCCGATTCAATCCCCGCTAAAATAGGTTCTAAAATGGGTGGTGAATTCACCTACCAACCAAAATGGGATCCCAGAACGGTTTTGACAACCACAGCCAGATCGATGAATCGAAGTATGGCTCTTTGGGCAAGACCTCTTGCTGTTTGAGGGAATTGAAGACGAAGCTTAAGCCAACGGCCAGGTCGAAGCCAATGACTTCCGCCGACAGCAGCGAGGACAATGAGGCCACATCAGCCTGAAACGCACTTGTGGCAAAGCCCGTCATAAGGCTTACAACATAAAAGGAAAATAAAAGAAAAATGAGAAGAAAAAAATCATGGCCTTATTTGAATCACCTGGCGGATTCTCAAGCCTTTCAGTTGCCAAACTTGCCCACTGGCCTCCTTGCTGATGGTGGTGATCGGGACATCCACCGGGAGGCACAGGCACTCAGCCTAAGCAAGCAGCAAACAAGTCAGGGCAAAACACCCAGCTGCCTTTTTGTATGACTTACTTGCTCAAAGGACCTGGAAATAAAAGGTTAACCTTTTGGGACCTTTACTAAAAATGGACCAAATCAGGGAAACCAAAAGGTCAAAAGGTCGGCTTTGGGCAACTGAGATGAGAGGTAAATACCTCGATGTCCAAGGAATGCCATCAAGCCGCGGGGGATGGCGCTGGCCACCCAGGTTTCCAAGGAGTCCTTGGGTCCTGCCTTCTTCTAATATTAGGGGTCAAAATTAAACCACCAGGATATGGACCGCAGGTTTTGAAGTCCAAGCTTCCATTTACCAGGATTCCATTTTGGGTACATATTTTTGGCCCACAGCCATATGTCCGTCCAACACAATTGCCTCACCATGAACTTTCGCATAAAAACGCCTCCTCTCGCAGTGCCGGGGGGCAAAAAACATTTAAAAAAACATGTGATATTAATAATAATAGTGATAATAGTAATATGAAAAATGGAGGAAAAAAAGAAAGAAATCAAAAATACAAGGAGAAAAAAAAGAATAAGAAAAAAAAAAGAAGAAAAAAACGGAGCCACCCAACTCCCTCCCCCCCCCCGGCCTCCCGCTTCCGCTTGGCGGTGATCACCAAGTCCTCCGAGGGCAATGGGCAGCCCCAGGCAGCTGCAAGGTCCGCTGCCAGCTCCACCTGGGGGGAAGGGGTGGCGGGAGGTTTGCAAACCTGGAAAAGCAAGGCGGTTCGGACGCCGGAGGGGAACTGGCTTGGCCCCTGTGTAGACATGTCCCTGACTTGGCTCCCATGGTCCATGGCGCGTTGGCAAGGCTGTCTGGACATGGCCTGGGTGGCCCACCAACATGAAAAGATTTTGGCGCTCACACCATGTCCCGGCCAGTCGAGGCCAAGAAACCATCCGATCCCAAGACCCGACGCACGGATTTTTGGATCGCGACGAGAGCCTCGCCTCCCCGCATTTCAAAAGGCCCTCCACGCAGCCAGCGTGCAAGGACGGCTCCTGGCGCTGGCGCATGTCCGTCCATGAGGATGCTTCTAAATTGGCGATCGGTCGAATTTGGGGAAATGTGTTGCCTTTTTTGGGCGAGACAAGGAATTGGATTGGTGTCTTGCTTTTCCTGAGCAACCCCAGAAATATGCTTGGGCAACCCCAGACATATGCAGACTGTCGAGTTCTCAGCGTGATGCGTTCGTCGGGCATGGGCTATGCCTCGCCTTCGATGCGATTTGGCGTGACACGTTGCGATTAGTTGCAAGTGCAGCACCTGGAACTCCAACAAGAAGCGCCGCCCCATTTGCACTCCTGGCAGCTCAAGCCCACCATGGCCTCCTTCCGCCCTGGCGCTTTCACCCGACAGCCGTCGCGCCAAAAGGACAGGCCCCCATTGCCACTCGGCAAATCAGGCTATTTTTAGAATGGGAACCCCCTTTCAAGGTGGTTTCTTGGACATACATCCCCATGCTCTCCAGGAGTCCCGATTCACCTCAAACCCGACTCCCAAAACACACGCGCGCTGTCGCTGCCGCACATCGAAGCCGGCCCCCTGCCTTTGCGTATTGCGGCCTCCAAGGCCTGCGATGCGCAACAGCGGCTTATGGCTCTTTGCGACTCGCCAAACGATCTTGACCACCTGGCTGTGGCTTAAAAAACTGGTACCAAAATGGCACCTTGGCAAATGGAACCAAAGACTAAAACCCGCGTAACCCTAGCTCTTGAATTTTGAGCCACACCCACTTCGGTTTCGGGAAAGCCTGGCCAGGGAATGAAAGCATGACATACATGGGCAATCTCCAAATGCCAATTTCTTTGTAGTTGGCTCTTCGGTTTCGGGTCCGGCTTGGGCATGCGGTAAGTTTGGATTGCAGATAGATGCGACGACCAACGCGCTTCGCCCAGCAATCGGCGTTGCAGGTTCACTCTCCCCCCAAACTCCGACGTTTCTTTGCGCAAGAAGGCGAAAAGAAAACGAGCGGGATGTCCAAGCCTAGCAAATTAACCAAAAAGAAACACGGAACCTCCTTGGCATACAAAAACCCATGCGGGACTCTGTGGGCAAAGGGACTTTCACTTCGATCATGCCCTCGGTGTGACTCCTTTGAGGCTTGTCTCAAGCCAGTGGACCCAAAGACTCGGAACTTTCGGCGTTTTTCCAAATCCCGACAGGAGCTCGAGCCTGGAATTGCCTGGGGCTTCCCTTCAAAATCCGGAGGCTCGGCAGCTTGAGCCTCAGATTTTTCGGACCTTGGGGGAAGTCCCAGATTTCCCCGCGCCCCCCGACGCCTCCGCCTTCCAGCGCAGCTCTGCGTCTGGGAACTCCTCTTGAAGGCCCAGCGCCTTGCCGCGAAACAGCCCGTGTGCCCAAAACGCAGAGAAGCCCACAGGGAGCTATGGACACACACAAAGGACCAAAAATGGTGGATGGATGCGAAATCCATTTCGCACCACCTGAGTAACCCAACGGAATGACGAGATTCCGCCGAAAAAACCAAACACCAGTTTCCCATGGTTTTTGTAGTGGCGCAGCAAATCGCCCATCTGTTTTAAAAGAATCCGCCCCAAACGGGGGTTTCCTGATTGGAGTGCTTCCAGGCCTGCCGGCATTCGGATAGAAGGAAAAGCACGGGCCGTGGCAAGTTGTCATGCAAGCCGTGCTTCTTGATACGACCGCGAGTGGAGCTACAGTCACCGGTTCGTCCTAAATCGCTGACTGGCAGACAAATACTGTCCAGCCTCAATTTGCCAAATCATCTGCGGACATCATTTGGGGAATACATACGCGGATTTCTGGCCCCCAAATGACCATGGGTGACTTTTCCCATGTGGGAAAATCCCACATCTTTGGGTGGTTTTCCAACCGACGGTCATCCCAAGGTACGGGCCTTTTGATCATTCCAGCCATGAAATCCCAGAACCCCACCCCTCGCCTGCACCGCTTTCGCCGCTGCCCTCAGGCGTCCGCCCGCCTGCAAAAAAAACGACCGAGCCTGCCCGGCAAAGGCAGTGGTTTGGAGATGGCTTTGAATAGGAGGCTCTTTGCTGTATGGGGTTTAAAAAACCATCAGGAGAAAACTACCTACCAAGTGCTCTTTGTTCTCTGGGTTTTAAAGGGGCATCAAGAGGAAACTACCTACCAAGTGCTCTTTGTTCCATGGGTTTTAAGGGGACATCAGAAGGATTCTACCTACCAAATGCTCTTTGTTCTATGGGTTTTAAAGGGACATCAAGAGGAAACTACCTACCAAGTGCTCTTTGTTCTATGGGTTTTAAAGGGACATCAAGAAGAAACTACCTACCAAGTGCTCTTTGTTGTATGGGTTTTAAAGGGACATCAAGAGGAAACTACCCACCAAGTGCTCTTTGTTCTATGGGTTTTAAAGGGACATCAAGAGGAAACTACCTACCAAGTGCTCTTTGTTGTATGGGTTTTAAAGGGACATCAAGAGGAAACTACCTACCAAGTGCTCTTTGTTCTATGGGTTTTAAAGGGACATCAAGAGGAAACTACCTACCAAGTGCTCTTTGTTGTATGGGTTTTAAAGGGACATCAAGAGGAAACTACCCACCAAGTGCTCTTTGTTCTATGGGTTTTAAAGGGACATCAAGAGGAAACTACCTACCAAGTGCTCTTTGTTCTATGGGTTTTAAAGGGACATCAGGAGCAAACTACCTACCAAGTGCTCTTTGTTCTATGGGTTTTAAAAGGACATCAGGAGGAAACTACCTCAAAGTGCTCTTTGTTCTCTGGGTTTTAAAGGGACATCAAGAGGAAACTACTTACCAAGTGCTCTTTGTTCTATGGGTTTTAAAGGGACATCAGGAGCAAACTACCTACCAAGTGCTCTTTGGTCTATGGGTTTTAAAAGGACATCAGGAGGAAACTACCTACCAAGTGCTCTTTGTTCTATGGGTGTTAAAGGGACATCAGGAGCAAACTACCTACCAAGTGCTCTTTGTTCTCTGGGTTTTAAAGGGACATCAGGAGGAAACTACCTACCAAGTGCTCTTCGTTGTATGGGTTTTAAAGGGATATCAGGAGGAAACTACCTACCCAGTACTCTTTGTTGTATGGGTTTGGAAACTACCCACCAAGTGCTCTTTGTTGTATGGGATTTAAAGGGGCATCAAGAGGAAACTACCTACCAAGTGCTCTTTGTTGTATGGGTTTTAAAGGGACATCAAGAGGACACTACCTACCAAGATGTGGTCCCAAATTTTGAGAAACGCCTCTATGATGTGTGTCATGGTTATGGTCCGCGTAGGAATCTTTGCCATGGTTGGCTGGAAGCCTAGTGTAGTGAAGGGTTGATCACCAGCTCAGCGAACGCCAAGCAAAGGGGTGCGTTGACCTTTTTAAAGTGGGTGAATTTCGATCTCAAACAAGGGACCATCATTGCGGGTGTGCGCGTTATATACCCAGGTGAGCTTGTGAAATTTTGCGCAAAGAAGATGTTAGGTGCTGCGACAAAAAGTCCAAAGGGTCAAGTGACATTCTGTGCGAGGACAAGCCACAAGAATTGCGCCAGCAACCAAATGCGGCCAGGCAAGTTGTTGCTCTGCGTCAAGATCTCAGACTGTCCTTGAGGCATTCTGAAACCATTTCGCACCACCTAAAAACCTTGGGATAATGATTGCCATGTAAATACCAACAAACAATGGTTTGTCCTGGTTTCAAAGTGGTGCAGGATTTCGTCCATCCACGATATGTTCGTTGATCCCACAAATACTTGCAGCGCTTTCTGAACTTTGGGGAACACAGCTTCGGTGCTACCTTCTGTCTTTGCTTGAAGTGGCAGCTCGAGTAGCTCGAGCATGCATTGAAACTAGTCCGGCAATTTCTTACACCTCTATTAGTTCATGTAAGAAAAGACCCAAATACCCCACCCCGCATCCCCAAAGCCTGCCGCTGCTTTACCAGAAGACGTTTTGTCTCGTCGTCGAGACCTCGCTGCGCTGGAACAAGCTTCGCCCACTTTTCAAGCCAGTCAAGCTGCCACCCCCCCCCCCCCCCAACCTTACCCCTCACCCCCCCACCCCCACCCCCCCACCCCCACCCCCCCACCCCCCCACCCCAAAAAAAATGGAGCCATAGGTTCTGCCCTATGGCCATTCGTTCAATTCCACCTCGTCCAAAGACGGCCTGTACCTCCATTCGGCCCGCCTTTGGCCAGCTGCTCCACTGCCTCGTCGCGGCTCCCATCGTCCGCCGCCTGGAGCACTTGGCGCGGCACCTGGGAGTGGCACGCAAATCGACGTGCGTCTTGTGGCGAACAGGGCCCCGCATGCCTCGAAAAAAGGATCCGGTCGGTGGAAAATCGACATCCTATGCCGGCAACACATTTCAGGAATTTTCAGGCAACCCACACAGAACCCCATACATCCCGAACGGAAAAGGAGTTGTGTGGCGCGAGATTTCGCGGAGCTTGGGTCGTTCGCCGAGCCAACTCGGCCGGGTCCCCACCTCCGGCGCCAGACCCGGCAGCGCCGCCGCAGCCACCGCAGCGAGGCCCTCGTCCGGGAAGCTGGCGGAGTGACAGGGAAACCGCGCCCGGAGGGGGGGGGGGATCAAAAAAAGGGCAGCTCGAAACCAACGCCTTTGAGCAGGGGCATAGAAAAAACACCAAACCAACACGGAAACGAGTCTCGGCAAGCAGAGACTCAGGAAGGAATCTTCTTCTTTGGACCTGCAAAAATCCATCGAAACCACTACGCTCTGCGCTTGAGGGCCGCTCCCAGCCGCCCGGCTCCGCGGCGCCGCGCAGGATGGAGGCCTCCAGGGCGGCCCGCACCTGGCAAGCGCGCCGCAGCGGTGGCGTCGCATCTACATATGGCAGTGGCTCAAAAAACCGGTTCCGAAATGGAACCTTGGGGTAAGTGGAAACATGGACCAAAACCCGCGTAACCCCTACTGTTTAATTTTGAGCCACAGCCATATGTTTGCCAAAAACAGAAATCTGCCAGCCATCCCACCTCAGCCCTCGCCCCTTTCGAGCGCCTCAGCGCCCAGCTGGTCCGCGGTGCGCACGCCCCAGGCCGCGCAAACGCGGACCAAGAGCTTCAGCCCCTCGCCTCGGCGAAAAACGCGCCCTCGCCATGGAACCGCTAAGGTCGGTTTAGATATCTGCGATGCCCAGTGGATTTCCATGCAAAAAAGAGGGCATCCTTCTTTGGTTGGTTGAGTTTTTAGGGGAGGGGTGTGATGTTTTTTGTCGGCCTCTTTGGGTGGACATCATTTACCCTCCCACCAATTAACATGGAACCTGACGTTTGAGGGAAAACGCTTCAGACCAGGACCCCCGATCGTTCCATGTTATTTGGTGGGAGGGTGAATCATCAAAGGGTCTGGGTAGAATTGCGCAAATCCCCAAGACATCATTTAAGTGCGGCTCAAGCTTAAAGAGCTACGGTTACGCAGGTGTTAGTCTTTGGCTCCATTTGCCATGGTGCCATGTTGGTGCAATCTGTTGAGCCACGGGGAAAGAATGGGACATCCTTTGCAGACCCATATCCTCGTGCCGTGTACATGTTTATGTGTTTATACGCACATGTAGACGTTGGTCTCGGTATAGATGTATCCTTTCATGTAGAAGTACATGTAGCAGTGGTACATTCCGGTAGCTTCGGGGGAGTGGAAACCATCTTTCAAAACTGTGCCATCGACTTTCACCCTGGTGGAAACCATCCAAGAAACCTCCAAATTCCCAAAAGTTAGATTCACAAGCTGAACCTGACAGGCTTTGATGGGAAGTTCTTTGTTGGCAAAGCCTCAAACGAACCTGGCAGGAAGCTGATGCCGTGAGGTGGTTGTCTTTGTTCGAAACTTGCAAGGGTCTGAATGTGTGTGTGTGTGTGTCAATTCGGACTCGTCAATGGGAAAGGCTCTGTGTAATTTGATGTGCTCTCTTGAGCTTCAAATCATGCCTGGCTCCACCGCACCATTTATGAACAAGGAGCGTTGAGAGGGATTGAAAAACCTTTTGTTTTGAGTCGTTTTGAGAACATATTTACTAGGCTTGTTGCTAAATGAGTGAACTCCAAAATGAACGGCTTCCCTTTTGGTTCCGCTCTTAACAAGGGTACCCTCCAAAAAAACACCCCAACGCCCCAATTTCAACTGACAAATGTTGCCGCCTGCGGAAGACGTCGTCAGCTGCAACAGGAGCCTTAGGCTTGGCTTGGCAAAGCAGTGGATTGCGGGGCGCTCAGAAAAGCGTTCGCTCTTTGCATGGAACCCATACTGTGGATGGACGAAATCCATTTCGCACCACCTAAGAAACCTTGGGATAATGATTGCCCTGTAAATACCAACAAACAATTGTTTCCCGTGGTTTCAAAGTGGTGCAGGATTTCGTCCATCCACAGTAGGGGTTCGTTTAGGAAAATGTTCTTCCATGCACTTCCAGTCACCTTCCCTGAGGGGCGTTTTGTTGAGAGGATCTGGCCTTAGTTGCAACGGCGCATGTGATTTCAGGGTAGACCCAAGATTTGTTCATGGAGATCAAACCGCTGCTACAGAGTGGCATGCCAACCCTTCGTCAAGCATTTGAAGCAAGTGCCACAGTTAGCTACTTCCTCAGGCATTGGATCTGGGGCGCCATTCACCTGTATCACCTGAGTGCTCGTCACTCTACCCCATGGCCAGAACAGTCTGAATCTCGACTTCCGGCCACCAAGCTACCCCAAAGCCTGAAAATGGCTTCTGGCAAGCTGGTATCCTGGACTTTTCGACAAAAAAAACACCACCCAACGTTCCCCCCAGGCGCGAATCGAACCTTAAGGGAAACCCACAAAGCAACCACCACCCAGAATTCCCCCAAATGGCTTTTGGCTGGTTGGTCTCCTGGACTTTTCGCTAAGGGAAACCGGGAAACCCACAAACCACAACCACCCGGAATTCCACCAAATGGCTTTTGGCTGGTTGGTCTCCTGGACTTTTCGCTAAGGGAAACCGGGAAACCCACAAACCACAACCACCCGGAATTCCACCAAATGGCTTGTTGCTGGTTGGTCTCCTGGACTTTCCGCTAAGGGAAACCGGGAAATCCACAAACCACAACCACCCGGAATTCCCCCAAACGGCTTGTGGCTGGTTGGTCTCCTGGACTTTTCGCTAAGGGAAACCGGGAAACCCACAAACCACAACCACCCCACCCGGAGTTCCCCCAAATGGCTTGGGGCTGGTTGGTCTCCTGGACTTTTCGCTAAGGGAAACCGGGAAACCCGCAAAACACAACCACCCGGAATTCCACCAAATGGCTTTTGGCTGGTTGGTCGCCTGGACTTTTTCGCTACGGGAAACCGGGAAACCCACAAACCACAACCACCCGGATTTTCCCCCCAGGCGCGCATTTCAACTTACGATTCCGCGCCCAGCAGCTGCTGCAGCTGTCCGCCACCCTCATCTTCATTGCCTGGCAAGCGGGTGTTGGGTGGCCTGAGCCAAGCATTTGGCCATGGGATAAGATCCCAGTAAACATCCCAATTCCCTTGTAAATCAGGTTCTAAAATGGGTGGTGAATTCACCTACCCCAAAATGGTTTTGACCACAGCCATTTGACCCAGGGCAACTAGAAGAAGGGGGTGCAGTGGGGACTCAAAGTGAAGAAACTTCTGAAGAGCTCATAGGGAGGTGTCCAAGTTTGGAGGGGATCCTTCGCTTTTGGGGCGAACACCTCCCCAATTCATCCGGCAGATTGATTTATCTTGGGTCAACGGTACTGAACACGGCAAGACTTTCCAATAACCCGGGTTCAACTAGTGCCCTAGCATTAGGGAGCTTATTTGGGGAGCTTATTTCGGGCGCCCAGGACTTTGCGTGCTTCGTGGGAATGGTGTCAGGGCCACGTGAACAAAGTCATGTCAGGAGGTAAGCTACAACCGGCACCCCTCCGTGTTCCTAACGGTCAACACAGACACAACTGAGGAAAACATCTGACGTCAGATTCCGTGAATAGAGTTCAAGCCTGCTAGTCCCGAAAGAAAGGCCAGTGTACTGCATAGCAAAAACGACCCCTTGCTGCCCAGCGATGAGTTGCTGCCTGTTTCTTGAATTTTTGCCCCCGGGCCCAATCCAAGGAGCAATGCCCAAAAAAAAGATAACTAAAAAACCATCCCTCCAAAATTGCAAAACCGTAATTAAAAAAACAGATCCCTCCCAAAAACAAATGGAGACAGAACCTCCCCCGAGCTTGGCCCCACGGCCCCGAGCGCCCGAGCCTGGGCCGAGGTCTGCCAGCAAAGAGAGGGACTGGGACCGCCCAGCCGACGCCTCCGCCTGTCCGTCCGCGGAATCGGCGGCTTCGTTTTGGAACAAAAATGATGGAAGAACCTCCCAGCTCGCGCTCTCGGATTATTTTTTGTCGACCTAGAAAAGGAAGCCAGCCAAACCCGAGAAAAAGAAATATCTTTATAGTGAAGGACATACACTTAGAAACGGTTTTGGAAATTTTCTTTTGGCGCCAGGTACTTTTTTCGTTTCTAAGTGCTGTCCCCAGCAGGTACCTTTCGTTTCTAAGTGTTGATCCGGACTGCTACAACCCAATTCAACACTTAGAAATGGTTTTCAACACTTAGAAACTGTTTTCAACACTTAGAAACGGTTTGCAGCACTAGCCCAACAGCTGTTTATGATCGTTCATATGTTTCACGCCTTGTTTGATGGCCCCACCTTGCTCACACCCGTGCTGACATGTATGGAGGATTGGTCATGTATACACACAAACAAGTCCAATTGGTCGACTCTTGGGGGGGGGGGGTTGGGGGAGGCGTTTCTAAGTGTTCACCCCCAGCTGATTTCAAGCTTCCGGCAACCCAAGAAAGCACCGATGCCCCGAGGAGGAAGGTCTATCTATATACATAGATATATATACATATATATATATATGTAAGTATGTGTTGTATGTAAGTAAATCATGCCTTGCTCGCAAACGCACTGACATATAGGAATTTTTGGTCATGCACATACACAGACAAGCCCCATTCGTAGAATCTGGGGCGGGGGGGGGAGGGTGGGGGGCGTTTCTAAGTGTTCACCCCCAGCTGATTTCAAGCTTCCGGCAACCCCAAGAAAACAGCGATCCCCCCATGACGAAGGTCTATATATATATATATAGATATGTGTGTGTTTGTGTAAGTAGATCATGCCTTGCTCACACACGTGCTGACATGTATGGAGGATTGGTCATGGCCCACCCCTACCACCCAAAATTGCACCCTTTTAGGGTTTAGGGTTCAACAACCCTTGTCTTCCCCCGAGCTCGGGGGAAAAAGAATTGATGGCTTGGCTGGCGTTGCAGCGAAAAAATCGCTTGCGCTAGCTTTCAAGCCAAGCCACCTGCGCGCCTTTTTTCGTCGAGGTTGGTGAGATCCCGGGAAGCGCCCCCGCCGAAAACACACAAACAAGTCCAGTTGGTAGACTCTGAAAAGGGGGGGGGTTGGGGGGGGGGCGTTTCTAAGTGTTCACCCCCAGCTGATTTCAAGCTTCCGGCAACCCCAAGAAAGCACCGATGCCCCCATGACGAAGGTATATATATATATATACAAATAAATATGTGTGCGTTTGTGTAAGTAGATCATGCCTTGCTCACACAGTGCTGACATGTATGGAGCACTGGTCATGTGTACACACAAACAAGTCCAATTGGTAGACTCTGGGGGGGGGGGTTGGGGGAGGCGTTTCTAAGTGTTCACCCTCAGCTGATTTCAAGCTTCCGGCAACCCCAAGAAAGCAGCGATGCCCCCATGACGAACGTCTATATATATATATGTATATGTGTGTGTTTGTGTGTAAGTAGATCATGCCTTGCTCACACACGTGCTGACATGTATGAAGTATTGGTCATGTATACACACAAACAAGTCCAATTGGTAGACTCTTGGGGGGGGGGGGCGGGGGGTTGGGGGAGGCGTTTCTAAGTGTTCACCCCCAGCTGATTTCAAGCTTCCGGCAACCCCAAGAAAGCACCGATGCTCCCAGGATGAAGGCCCATATATACACATATGTATAAACGTGTGCATGTGTGCGTTTGTGTAAGTAGATCATGCCTTTCTCACACACCTGCTGACATGTATGGAGTATTGGTCATGTATACACACAAACAAGTCCAACTGGTAGTCTGGGGGGGGGGGTTGGGGGAGGCGTTTCTAAGTGTTCACCCCCAGCTGATTTCAAGCTTCCGGCAACCCCAAGCAAGAACCGAGGGCCCCAGGATGAAGGTCTATATATATATATATGTATAAATGTGTGTGTGTGTTTGTGTAAGTAGATCATGCCTTGCTCACACACGTGCTGACATGTGTGGAGTATTGGTCATGTATACACAAACAAGTCCAATTGCTATACTCTGGGGGGGGGGGTTGGGGGAGGCGTTTCCTCCCAGCTGATGTCAAGCTTCCGGCAACCCCAAGGAAGTGCTGACATGTGGGGAGGATTGATCATGTATATTGGTAGACTCTGGGGTGGGGGTGTTGGGGGAGGCGTTTCTAAGTGTTCACCCCCAGCTGATTTCAAGCTTCCGGCAACCCCAAGAAAGCACCGATGCCCCCAGGATGTGTATATATATATATATATATGTGTGTGTAAGTAGATCATGCCTTGCTGACACAGTGCTGACATGAATGGAGTATTGGTCATGTATACACACAAACAAGTCCAATTGGTAGACTCTGTTGGGGGAGGCGTTTCTAAGTGTTCACCGCCCAACTAATTTCAATCTTCCAAGCTTCCGGCAACCCTCAAGAAAACACCGATGCCCCGAGGACGAAGATATATATATATATACAATTATATCCATATGTGTATGTAAGTAGATCATGCCTTGCTCACATAGGTGCTGACCTACATGGAGTATTGGTCATGTAATATATACACACGTACAAGCCCAAGTGGTTGAATCCGGGCGGGGGGGGTGTTTCTAAGTGTTCACCGCCCGGCTGATTTCAGGCTTCCGTACGTATGCGTGTATGTAAATACATCATGCCTTGTTCACACACGCACTGACATATATGTAGTATTGGTCATGCGCATGCACAGACAAGCCCCATTGGTAGAATCTGGGGCGGGGGGTGTGGTTCACGCCCAGCTGATTTCAAGCCTCCGGCAACCCCAAGAAAGCACCGATGCCCCGAGAAAAATATATCTATATATATATATAAATATGTGTGTGTAAGTAGATCATGCCTTGTGGTCATGTATACACACAAACAAGTCCAATTGGTAGACTCTGGGGAGGGGTATTATTCTTTCTACTATTTTTTCTCCAACAGCAACACAACAAACAGAAAACAAAATCCAGAACAACAAGCAAACAAAATAAATAATCACAACCAACAACAAAAATATTTAATCACAGCATGCAACATTAAATAATTCAAACAAGCATACCAACAAAACAGCAACACTCTAAATCATCAAAGAACCCAAACTCAAAAACACACATCAACAAAAATCAAAGCAACATACCAACAAAAAATATCATAAGAGTATCAAACAAAACAAAAACAAACAGCCAAAGCACGAAAAAATTGAAGAAGCATGCCAAGTCTAAACAACGCACTTTGAAAGAGATAAGCAAATTATAATAATTCAATCTTTACAAACGATAAATATATTACAATTATAACATATAATATTTTACATGTGATAATCATAGTATGATTAAACCTGTTTTTAGTGTTTCCAGTCTCCTATGTTGTTCCAAGAACTGCTCAAAATGTTTCTGATATTATACCAGATTAAGTTAACGTCATAATCTTTCATTGGTGCTCTTTGTTGTATTAAATAACGCAACACTGATACCAAAGTATAATAATTACAATGCATTGTTGTCATTCCTCCTCTTTCATTAATACTATTACCATTACGTTTAACGAGTTCTTCTTTCATTATGTTTTCGTAAATCTCTTTTATCCATTGATGATTTTGTTCTCCATACTCAGTGAACATATCTGGATATATATCTTTCATTGTTTTATCGTTTTTAATTATTTCAATGACTTGTTGATACGATGGATAGGGATTATCCTTAATGAAACTCAATATTATCTTTCTATCCTGTTTCAGCTCTTTTTCTGTCACTCCTAGCATTGGCATTTTCCTCTTATTATATTAAGTCTTTATTCCTTTAAGTCATTTTACATTATAATTATAACATATAAGGGTATAAATGTTATTATTATAGTATGGTAAAGCTATATACTGCTACCAGTATCGTTCAAATGATACTACCAGTATCGTTCAAATGATACTACCAGTATCATTCAAATGATACTACCAGTATCATTCAAATGATACTACCAGTATCGTTCAATTGATACTACCAGTATCGTTCAATTGATACTACCAGTATCGTCCACCTGATACTTCCATTATCAAACTCAAAATCCTTAATCCACCAAACTCACCAAGATTTCACAAATTAATTCACTAGGTATTTTATATAGGTCGTCCTGTTTATGTATTGTTGGATTGTCTCCCCAATTTTCCTTGGTGCCCGATGGTAGCCGTTGTGCTGTTTCAATATGTTTATTATTCCTGATGTTGTCACAATCCTTTTTACATAATTCTCTAGGTTTCCAAGTTGTAATGTTATTCCAGAGCCTAGTGCGTTTTCTGTAAGGCATTCCATATTTACAATAATCAACATCTTTAAAATCAAACTCATCCATAAACTCCTGATTTTTTAATAATCCAGTTTGTGGATTTTCGATTACAAAATATTTAGGATTGAAATATTTGATAATCTCAATAGTTTTTAAGACAATACTATTTGCATATTCGATATTCCTAATTCCCTGAGTTTTTGCTATGCTGTATTCAGTGCATGGGGGACTACTCCAAATAAAATCAAAATGGTTTCTGTCAAACTGTTTGTAATCCCACTCCAAAATATCAGTGTTGATATCAGCATTTTTCAAGTCTAATGATATCACATTAAATCCAAGCGACTTTGCTATGGTTCCAACGCTTTTTGTTCCACTAAATAATTCTAATAAATTCATTTATTAGAATTATTTAGATATTAATTATTCAAATAATACATATACTCCATCATCATTTTTTGAAATTTTGTAAAATTCTAAAGTGGTGCTTTTAGGTTGTTTGATTTTTCCTGTATTCAACATATCACAGTATTTCTTTTGCTTTGTCGGGTAGTCGCCCGATGGTCTTCCTATAGATTTTGCTTGAAATATCTTTTCGATTTTTTCTTTATCTTCATTGCGTTCAACTGGTTTCATTTTGTCATCAATGGATTTAATCATATCATTTAAGGTTTT